CGGCTGGAGGAGGAGAAACGGCTGGAGGAGGAGAAGCGGCTAGATCAAGTGAAAAGAAAGGTTGAGTTGAGGCGGCTGCAGGAAAAGAGGCTAAATGAGGCGAAACGGGAAGAGCATCAGAGGGGAGAAGGAAAAAGAACGGAGCAGCAGGCTATTCCGGGAGCAATAGAAATGACACAAGGAGAGGAAAATAAAGAAACGGAGAAGACACAACAAAAAAAGGACCTATTTAGCAAGATTATGAAACAAATTTATACGGTGACCCCGCTAGCCTACTACCGAAAGGAGGATAAGGACAAAGACGAGAAGGAGAAACATCATGAGGGAAAAAAAGACAGCGACGAAATGGATGGAAGAGTGGAAAGATCCTCATTGGAGATAGATAACGGGAAAGGTACAAAGAGGAACAACTTTATTGATGAAAAAAAAAATTTAAATATCGATAGAAGGGAAAAGGATGGAGAGGAAGTAACCACTGCATACCATAACAACGATGTGGGGGATGACCAAAAAAGGGAGGGGAAACATCTGCCGAACCTTTCTTGCGCAAGGAGTTACTCCATTTTTGAGAAAATGGAAAGGGAAAGAAAGAAGAGTTTTAGGGGGAAGGCATCCATGAATGGCAACAAAGGCGGTTCCAATAAACTTGGGAAGAGGGATTTGACAAAACACGCCTACGTGAACAATTCTGTAATAATCAGCCATGTCATAAGTAGGGGGAAGGATGAAGAGGAACATGTGCCGAGTTCCCACAGGGGGGACTCCGCTGGGGAGGAGACAGATGGTGAAGCGTCTCCTGGTGAAGCGTCGCATGGTGAAGAATCGCATCGCAGAGTAGGAAACCACTTCGAAACGCGTGACGATTCGATCCCTAGAACCATACTGAATGAGGAGAAAAAGAATGAGCTGGTAAAAATGAGGAACCAAAATCTCCAGTATAGCAACGTGCGTGAGGGGAATTTACGCAGTTTGTTAGGTGACGTGTTGGGGGAAGGAAGCGTCTCAGTCCCGAGTAACGAAGACGAGTTCTTTGACGTGGATGAGGAGGATTTCTTCGCAACAGAAACGGAGGACTCTTTTTTGAAAATCGACGATGAGGAGGGGGAGCAGGAGGAAGGAACCATGGAAGATATAAAAACGCATGTTTATAGAGAACTATATGGTGGGCGTCGGTACGGGCGAGGAGGCAGAAATAACTTAGAGTTGTCATCTCTGTGGGGTAATGAATCCCCCCAAGGTGACAGTTCCCCGTTTTACTCGGCGGAGCTAAGAAATCTGAGCACTTACGATTTGTACAGGAAGCAGATAAGCACAGATGAGGTAATGTGGAGAAATTCAAAAAGATTGTCCCGAAAAGACGAATCGGTAAGTAGGAGCAGTGCAGAGGGAGAATCGAAAGATAACATCTCGAAAAGCAGTCAAGATGCCTACTTTGACTTTGAAAAAAAAAAATTTTTTAACAGGGAAGAGAAATATAAGATGTCTGCAAATAGTATTAGTGGCTTATCCAGTGACGACTCGATTGTTGCTCGGAGAAAAATGTATTACCTGGATTCGTTGAGAATTCACTACGATGAAGGGAGTGACCCCTTCACTAATTACTCCTTCGAAAAGATAGACACACGAAATTACCCCCGTGAGGGAAAGTATGCACCGGACGAACACCATAGCGGCAGTGATGACGAGATCCTTGCGACGGTCATGGACAATTTGAACGGCTCGAATAATAAGATCAAGTCAATTGGACTGAGTTACCACATTGAGAATGGGCGAGGGAACATGTCGGGAGGGGTGGCGGAATACCTCCACAGGCGGCGCTCCGGAATGGTTCCTCACGTTGATAGGCTTCACCTTGATCCTCTCCACGCTGATGGTCTCCATGCTGAAAGTCTCCATGCTAACAGTCTCGATGCTGATGGGGACTACACTGGTGGATACCACGCCGGTGCGCACTATACCGGTGAGCACTATACCCCCGGGAACTACACCCGTGGGCACTACACCCGTGGGCACTACACCCGTGACAACTATACCAGTGGGAACTGTACGGATCCCCATCATGACGACCTTTCCTCGTCTTCCCTTTACCACAGCAAAACCCAGTCGCACATAAACGCCACGAGGAATTTCCAAAGGGTGTACTCGCGCCAGTAAAGGCGTAACATCCTTCGCTGCTTGCGAGTTCGTACCATATGTGCATCTCCCCAAATGGGAAAAAAAAAATGAAAACATTCCCTGGGCGATCATGTGATTTCAACTTGATGCCACTTAATTTTTTGTTCGCCTTCTCCTTCCTCTGCCAAGGGCGTGTACTTGGAAAGGCGCCACAGGTGCATACAACTATATGGATATGTACCTGTACATACACGTGTACTTATTTGGCTACCAATTGGTGTTTGCATTCCAATTCTAACTTTTTCCTCAAACAGTCGTGATAAAAATCACCTTACCCATTTGGCGAAATAGAGAGAAGAGTGATACGACTTTTCCCCAGCGTTGCATTGAGCAGAAACGTTTTTTTCTACTTCCGTGCGGGAGTGGAGGAGGGATATATATATTGGGCATTAATTGACCACAGTTGGGAGCATTTTTCGCTTTCTCGTTCCACACTCACCTGAGTCAGTGCGCAGTGTACACATGTGTGTGTATGGCGGTATGCCACAATAATCGCAGCAAGAAGAAGAAGCAGAACAACCACAACAACCACAATGCCGTGGATTCCGATTCTTATGGAACCCCCTCTTTTTGTGTTCACTCGAATAAGTAGCAGAGTATATACAATGGGGTGTACACGTCTAACCAATTGAGAGAAAACAACCCCGGCGCGTTCACTATGTAGATGCAAATTGATCCACAAAATGGCAATTCGTGGGAGAACAATGTAGAGTGCTTTTTTTTTTTTTTTTTTTTTCTTTCTCAGCTATACCTTAATGTATAAAGCAATCCGTGTCACCTTTGCAACGATTTAGACGAATGTCAGTTGCGCTGACGCGGGATGTCATCCCAGAGAAAGCCATCCTGTGTTGGTAGCACGCAGCGTAAATATATCGTACATACAGGTTGTCACAGTAGGTATTATTGAATACATATTTATGTAGGCTTTTTTTTTCTTTTTTAAAAAAGGGACACCACTCATGAGAATTAAAAAAAAAAAGAAACACTGAAATGGGTAGCGTATGGTTTATTCTCGACTTGGGGAAATATATCTAACTGGATCACTTAGATGGGAAAATTGGCGAGATGCCGTTTTTTTTTTTTTTAAATTGTGCCTAATGCATTGCTTGGTGTAAGTGCCTATGTACGTAAATATATGCACGTTTGAATGCGCCGACGGTGAGGAAGAAGAAGAAGAAAAGAAAGAAGAGCCAGGTGCGCACAGGCACATAAAAGAAACATATATATACTTCTATGCGCATAAATACGGCGCATAGGCATTGCCGCGCAGTTGCGCGCTGGTGTGGAGCTAACGCGAAGGGCGAGCGGCGGTAAGTGCTAATCCTTAGAGAATATACCTTGCGGTAAAAAAGCAAACATAAAAAAATGAGACCTTGAACGGGGTGCGTGCTGAACAAAAGCGCAAGCGTAAATATACGCGGCGCCATCGATGAAGCGCAGTGGATGTAGCGGAGTGCATGAAAAGAGGAGTGATTTGCCTACGCACTTGTATGCGCAAATGTACTGGTTCGCATATGCGTAATCCTGCATCCAATTGTATGTTCGAAAATTACGGAAACGATGCGCATTCTCCTTCTTGTAGGTGGTCACAAAATTTTTAGTTCATCTGCGTGTTCATTTGTGCGTTTATCTGGACGTTCATTTCTGCCTGTACTTTCGTGTTAATTTTTTTCGAGCCACATTACTTTTGGGCCTCCCTATATCAATCCACGTTTACAGTTTTAGCGAGTGTACATTTTCAGCCTACATTTCGAACCGCATACATTTGCAACTGACGCTAGCACGTTCGTGTTCGCTGCTACATCTTCGCATCTACGTACCCACCGCTTCTTATTCACCTCATCGCATTTGTCAGCTCGTTCATTCGAATAGCTCAACGTTTAGCAGATCACGTTGATGGCAACATATTGATCGCTTCGCATATACCCATATAGGCAGATTAACGTTCAACCTTCCAGCTTGCAGTTTTTCCCCAAATTGCTTCTGGCATAATTAATTCCCCTTTTTCATTTGCTTGTGCATGCCCCTCTGGAGCATACAACACATTAGTATAATAATCCCCTGCGACTTCCCCCCACTGGGAAAGAAAGAGTTGACCCCTCTCCCCCCCCCACGAGTCATTTCCTTTATCATAAAAAAAAAAAAAATGCAATCCAAGTTTTGGGCCAAGGGCGCGGACGACGACAGTGGTGACAACATTACTGAATCATCCGACAATGAAGTTGAGGTAAGAGGAAAAAGCGGCAAGAGACCATATACATACCGTGACATAATGCATACGGTACTCATATGCATGTCGTATGCATATGCATGGCTTACGCATATCATTGTGTGTATCACCGATGCACATACATATGCCTGTTACGTGAATGCCTACACGCTCAGACGCTACCGCGGCGCCTACCAAAAGGGAGCGCTCACACATTTGTGCTTTCTTTAAAATGAACGCCTAAACCCGAAATGTACAAATTTGGAGAAGTATTTTTTATTCCCCATTTGGTTGCGTATGGCTGTTCACTCCCCTCCAATGGGGGCTAACACCCTGCACATTCTTTTTTCCACTTATCGTTCGTCCATTTGAGTGCCGTGCGTGGTGGGACCGTTGGAAAGATACCCCCCCTTTCCCCCATCTACTAGCGTGCCGTTCACCGTTCCGTACCTGTTCTTACCGTTTTGTCACCGTTTCGCACCGTTTCATACCTTTTTTCACCTTTAAAATCTGTTTACCACTCCGCAGGACAAGAAGCCCCTAGTATCGGCGCAGGCGGAACGCTGGGCAGCCATTGACAGCAGCAGCTCGGAGGAGGAAGAAAGAGTCATAAAAAGTTATGAAGGAAAGAGAATAGATTTTTACAAGAACATTGGGAACAGCCTAAATGACAGCATGGAAAATAGTGACTTTAATCAGCTGCTAAAGGATTATGAGAGCTTGTACAAATTTATGGTGAAGGAAAGTTCTGAACGAATTCCAAATTTTGCCATTGTCTATTTGGATAAACTTACAAAATATGTGGAGACAACATTTCAGAACAATGTGGAGAAGAAGGTCCTGAGTAAGAACAAGGCACAGACCCTGAACAAATTAAAAGCAAAGATCAGAAAATGCACTGAGTTTTATCAGAATAAACTAAATCTGTACCATGAGAATCCGGAGGAATTTAAGGCCGCCATGGAGGACGAGGAGGAAGATGAAGAGGAAGAAGAGGAAGAAGTGGACGATGTGGACGAAGAGGATGATGTGAACGAAGCGGACGATGTGCACGCTGTGGACGATGAGGAAGAGGGAAAAAAGAAAGGAAAGGACAAAGATGAAAAGACCCCGGGAGAAGAGGACGACAGCGATGATTGGTCAAATAGTGAAGAGGAAGCATACGTGTCGGATGACCCAGATGATAAAACAAAAAGTGCTATGAGCAAATGGGGATTGAAAACAAGTGAAAAAGTAGAAAAAAAAAAAGCAGTAAAAACGAAGAAGGTGAAAAAGGAAACAACAAAAAAGGAAGAAAAGGTAACACAGGTGGACGAAAACCAGTCTGCAAAAAATAAAGCATATGCAGAATTATTAAGCACCAAAAATCTCTCAGAAGAAGTCATACGAAATAGAGTCAAATTTGTCATTGAGAAGAGAGGAAGAAAGGGATTAGACAAACATGAACATATTAACATTTTATCCAAGTTGTCAGAGCTAGCCAAAACAGTAAGCACACAGTCATACATAGAAGTACTGGAACAGCTGATTAATCTCGAATTTGACGTCGTCTCAAGTGTGTATACCTATATGTCGTTCAACATTTGGAACAAGGCATTTAAGTACATTGAACTTATCTTAGATTTGCTAATTCAAAATGAGAACTTTTATTTAGTATCCATAAACGTCACAGAAGAAATTACTGAAGAGGTTATAAATGAGAAAGAGAAAATTTCCCGGTCTTGTAAAACGCTCATTTCGTTTTTGGCCAAATTGGATGATGAGTTGATGAAAGCGCTTCAATATATCGATGCCCAGACGGAGGAATACAGGAGGAGGTTAGGAAAAACTGTGCATATGATTGCATTGCTTTACAAAGGATACAATTACGTGAAGTTTACCAAGAAGATGCCTGACCTGGCAATATTCATTTCGACAAGGATTCTTGAGCACATGTATTACAAACCGGAAGCGCTGTTCATGCAGATATGGAACTTCGTTACGAGTGGGAAGGGCAGCAGCTCCCCGTCGGTGGATGCGCAGGGGACCAGCGGAGGAAGGAAAGAAGAAGACGCGGAAAATAAGGGAAGCGTCAACCCAAATGGAGAAGTCCAGGCAGACCATTCCGCGCAAACGAATGGCGACTGCGATAAGCAGCTGAACGGGGATGCCCCAAATGATGCAGAGAGAGTGGCCGCCAAAGGGGACGACAAAATCTCGACAAAACATATTGTAGAAAAATATGTGTATGAAATATTCGAGCATGGAACGAAGCAACAGAAGGTTAAAGCACTGCTGCAATTGTCCTTCCACAGAAGCTTGCACGACGAATTTCTGGAAGCAAAGGAATTATTAAATGTTGCCAATGTACACGAACTGGCGCTAAGTTCAGATTTGCCGACGCAGATTCTGTACAACCGAAATCTGATTCAGTTAGGATTATGTGCCTTTAGACATGGGAAAATATTCGAGGCCCACTGCTGCCTAGGGGAACTATGCTCCCAGAATAAGCACCGAGAGTTAATCGCCCAGGGAGTATCAAACGTAAAGAATCAGGAGAAAACTCTGGAACAAGAAAGAGCCGAAAAGAGAAGACTCCTCTCATTTCATATGCACATTTCCATTGAGCTAATCGAATGTGTAAATAACATCTGCGCAATGCTGTTGGAAGTACCCAATCTAGCCAGACACACATATGAATCCAAGAAGGATATCATTTCGAGGCAATTCAGACGATTCCTGGATATATATGACAAGCAAATTTTTAATAGCCCCCCAGAGAATAATAAAGAAATTATTTTACTAGCAACGAAGTATCTGCAGAAAGGAAATTGGAAAATGTGTTGCGAAAAAATATTCAGCTTATCCATTTGGTCGAAATTTAATGAGAGGGAAAGGGTACAAACCATACTACAGGAAAAAATTAAACAGGAAGCCATGCGGACTTACATTTTTAGATACATCTCCATATATGACTCCTTTTCTGTTGATCAGCTATGTATCATGTTCGACCTTAATCAGAGTGTCGTGCATTCTATTCTGAGCAAAATGATGATTAACCATGAGATTCCTGCCTGCTGGAATGAAAGCAGCAGTCATATTCTCATCAACAAGGTGAACCCCACGGCTCTCCAGACTGTGGCCATCAAGTTGGCCGAAAATATCAACGAGGTTATGGAGCAGAACGAGCTGACGCTCAACATGCGCAACCCAAAGTAGGCCTTCTTCGAGAGGAGAGAGCGACCGGCACGGAAAAAGTGCTGCGTCTTGCAGGAGAGCCGCGGTCGGGCAGTTATATGCTCACATATCTTATGCAACACTTCTACACAACTTCTACGCAACTTCTACACCACTTATGCACCTCCCCCCCACCCTGCAGATTCATGTTCATGCAGGAGAGACGCACTCAGATGAAGGACGAGAAGTCCAACTGGTCACACAAGAAGGGCGAAGGCAAGTACGGAAAGGGTTACCACCAGCACAAAAACATGCACTACAAGAAGAACTACAAGGAGAGGAGCATGCCCAGAGGCTTCGCGTAAATTTTAACTACTCTGCGCGTGTGTGTATGCATCAACAACATTACGTTCGCAGTTACATGTGTGGAGAAAGTGTGCACCAAAATGTGCGCCTATATACACAAGTTTTGTGCGCCTATATACACAAGTTTTGTGCGCCTCTATACACGCTTCGCCCGTGCGTCCACAAAGGTACCCCGTATTCTCTGTGAAGATGATTTTTCGCCCCGCTCCCCCTGCGAAGTGCCCTTGCGAACATTTGTATGTTTAAAAACTCCATTTAAAAAGGGGTAAACAAATGGTATAATCCGGGAAAAACGAAAAGGAAGAAAAAAAAACGACATTCATATAGCACAGGGCAAGGCATGTAACGCTGTGTTGCTTACGTTTGAACGTGCGCTGTGGAAAACGTTGCAGATATAGTTAGCTTATTTTATTTCGCCTCACCTCGCGTCACCTCATGTTATGTTATCTTATGTTAATTTTTTTTTTTTCTTTTAACTCTCCAACTTTTATGAAATTATAAACCAGCTTTACTCAAATTTAATAAAAAAAAAAATAGCCATTTTATTCTGTTCCTGTCCCCTTTAACCCCTTTTTTTGGAGCTGTGGAAAATGTTTCGCAGCAGAGGTGAAAAAAAAATAACGGCAGGGACAACTCTTCTTCACCTTTTGGCTTTTTTAAAAAGGTGCGAAATTTAGCCAAACTGAAGTGGCACAATTGGGAAATAAAACCTTTGCCCCTTTTGAGGAGCCAGCCAAAAGAGGTTCATCACGCAGCACGCGCAAACCGATGTGTACCTACATTAGACCAGCAGAGGCATATATGTGAGGGAAGACCACATGCTTGCACGGTGCAGCTATGAACTTTGTGCGAGAAAAACGTCGATATTTTTTCACACAAAATTAATGTGACAATTTTGAATTTGCAACAAAAGGGAGAAGCTCATGTTGCGTACCTTCATTGTGAGGGATAACTGCCAAACTTCGAGGGGCTGTCGTCGTGAGGGGAAATTTAAGCAAGAGGGGTGGCAAAAGGAGTTGCGAAAGGGCGCGTTGAAATTATATCACTGAGTCACTGCGAGATTACATCTCTACGTCGTTACGTTGTTGCTCCATTATGGTGTACATTTTTTAAAACATAAAATATTTTTTTTTTTTTTTTGCACAATCTTTTAAGCATTTACATGAACAATCGCCCCAAGTACTCAATTTCGAGTGAACTCCACTTTGGGATGTGCCTGACCAAGAAATTCGTGTGCGAACGAGAAAAAAAGAGCAACCTTGTGCATTTTATAAATGGAGAAGTTAGACATACATTCACATGAAATGTATGAAGATATGGAGAACGCCTTTCGGGAGCAAGACAAGTACGACTTTTTGGCCATATCAGATGGGAGCGGTAAAAGAAAAAAAAAAATTCATCAATATGATAAAAAAATTGTCTCCCTCTATCTTCCGTACAAAGTTACACGTAGGGGAGATTCACCCACCAGGTGTACACATACACAGTTTTACTTTCTTCTGCTTCCGACCCCTCCCCCTCGTCCTCTTCGTAGTGATAAATTCGTGCATGAAAAAAAACGTCGTCGACTGGAATAACCGCTACAGCTACAACCAACTGAAGAACAAAGACAGCTTGATCATGTTCCTGGTGGATATTTTTAGGTCCCTTTTTCTTTCAAACTGCATTGATAAAAATATTGATAATGTTCTCTACAGCATAGAAGAGATGTTCACGGACCATTACTACAACCCCATGCACAGCCGTCTGAAGTATTTGATAGACGACGTGGGTTAGTTTCTCCCTCGCATCGCAGAAGAAGCAGTGTGTGGAGGCCAACTATGAGAGCATCATGCGAGTAGCACTCCTCTTTTTGTACACATGTACATGCTTACGGGTTCCCAATTGTTCACACCCCATGACTGCGCAAAAGGAGAAGTAACAACTCGGGGCAGCGTGCAGAAACCCATTTTTAATTATCCCCTCGCAGGAATATTCTTCACGAAGCTGCCACTAGCGAAGGCCTTCCACACATACAACAGGAAGTATAGAATAACGAAACGGCTCTACGCCCCCCCAACCTTCAACGAAGTTCGGCACATCCTTAACCTGGCGCAGGTGGGCATCGAAGGCAGCGCCGCAAGAAAAAAAAAAAAAAAAAAAAAAAGGGCGTGTTTTTCTGGACATATATGAGAAAGTTTCTTCCGCGTCACCATATCCTGTGGCTTGCAATTCTTCATGTTTTTCCCCCTTTGGCAACACAGATCCTTTCGCTGGAGGACGGACTAGACTTGCTCACCTTCGATGCAGACGAAACGCTCTACCCAGATGGATACGATTTCCACGACGAAGTTTTGGCTAGCTATATCTCCAGCTTGCTCAAAAAAATGAAGATAGCAATAGTTACCGCGGCCTGTTAGTACACTTCCTAGGCAGAAGTAGTTAGAGAGGCACACATACGATCCAACATTAATTAGGCATGTACAAGTGCCTCCACACGTGCATGTCTCCATTTTTCCCCCTTTTACACCTCTAAGCTTACAGCAACGATGCGGAGAAGTACCAGAAGCGGCTGGAGAATTTGCTTCAGTACTTCTCCAAGAACAACATCGAAGACGGCTCGTACCAGAATTTCTACGTCATGGGGGGTGAAAGTAATTACTTATTCAAGTAAAGCGAAAAGGAAACAAAAATGATATATATACACATATGTGTGTATGGATAACTCCTAACGAACACATGCACATGGAGAGATAATGGCCCTGCGCGCAGGGGATGGAACCAGATCTGCCCCGAAGACATAACAAAAAAGTTAAATTAAAAGAAAAAAGAATTCCCTCTTTTCTGCGCACACAATTTCACGCCCCCTTAGGTGCAACGAAGAAGCTAACCTTTACTCCGTTCCAGAAGAGGAGTGGTACCATTATAAAAAATATGTGGACAAAGAAACCGTTGAGCAGATATTAGACATTTCGCAAAAATGCTTACAACAAGTAATTACGGATTTTAAATTATGTGCGCAAATTCAGAGGAAAGGAAAGTCCATAGGGCTAGTCCCAAATAAGATCCCGTCGGCGACGAACCAAAAAGGTGGGTATTGCATTGCATGTCCGCTTGAAGTTCTTTCGTTTAATCTGGCCCACGAAAAAAAACAAGCGAATGTGCCGATATATGAATATATTAGCCTACATGTCACATGTGTACGCACGAAAACGCCCTTCTTTTTAGAGCAAAAGAATTACATGATAAAGTACGAAATCTTGGAGGAGGCGGTGATCCGCGTAAAGAAGGAAATCGTGAAAAACAGTAAGCGTGGGGGGGGGCGGCGAGTGATAGGCGTATTCACCACGCTGTGTAGCACGCGTGTACTTATTCAAATGAGCATAATTAGAAATGTGCTTTAACTGCGCTTCTTTGGCCGACATCCCTATTTTAATGACATCCCATAAACAACACAATTACACATTTTTACCAACCACGCAGAAATAACGGCGCCTTACTGCGCCTTCAATGGGGGACAAGACCTCTGGGTAGACATTGGGAACAAGGCAGAAGGGTTAATCATTTTACAGAAATTGTTGAAAATAGAAAAAAAAAAATGTTGTCACATTGGAGATCAGTTCTTACACTCGGGAAATGACTTCCCCACGAGGTACGAGGCGCCCGTCGCATATTATTTGTGCATGTGGAACGGGCGATCGTCCAAACTGTGATCATGTATCGCCAGTTGTAATTTAGACACCCTTATATTACATCGCCTTTTACGAAAAGGAAAGAGAAAAAAATCACCCCTTTTTTTTTTCTTCCTCTTCAGGTTCTGTAGCTTAACCTTGTGGATTAGCAACCCACAGGAAACCAAAGCCTGCTTAAAGAGTATAATGAACCTAAACATGAAGTCCTTTATCCCTGAAGTTTTATACGAAAATGAGTAGGCATCACACAAAGGTATTCTTCTTTTTCTCCTATTTTTTAACACCTGGGGAATGTTAAGGAACAACAACTGCATGTATTTATTCCTGTAGATGGGGGGCCTTAATGAATACGCAAAATATTATATGCCCACATGACGCGCTGTATATGTATACATGCGTTTATACACTTTGGTATGACTTTAGAACGGTGCGTAAAGTTGGATTGTACGTGACGAAACTCATTACGGCATGATGCTTCTCGCGATAATACGCACATCGTTATGAGAAGAAATGTCAAATATTTTTTATTCGACGTTTCGCACTGCTGTTAATGAAGAAATGCATTTTTTAATTTGAAACTCCAACGATATATTTTTTTTCTTTTATTCTATTCCCCTCCTTTATGCTTTTTGCATATCTTTGAGAAATTTGCAAAAGGGTGAAATAAGGAAGAGGAAAATGAAAAACGGCGACCAAAGGAGTAAGAAGTAAAGGGGGGGGGAAAAAAGAAAAATAAGAATAAATAAAAAATAGCCAACCGAATTGGTACATTACAAAGTAGACATTTAATTAGCCAAAAAATTGCTCCTTTTTATTTTACTGCTACGTTACCCCCGCTCATTTGGCACATTCTCTGTCAGTGCGGTTATCCACCACACATGGGCTTCCTGATACTGCTCTTTTAACTATGAAATGAAACCGTGGAGATTTGTGCCCCTTGTGGCTTCTAATTTACGCTGAACTGTGTTCATATGTGCCCTCTGTGTGGCGATATCATCGCTCACGTGACTGGACTTTGGGCTACACAATCGCACAGGTATCCGCGTTATCTCACGAGTGATAATCTGCGTGATCTGTGTGATCTGCGTCATCTGTTTGACCTGCACAACTGCGGGGGTGATGAAGAGCTGATGTGTCCTCCACCGTTGCATATGCCTGTATGTATCAACACAGTGGCGTAATGGGGCAAAAATCAACATGAAGGTTTCAAAAAGTGTTCCTTCGTTTTTGATCCACCGCGTGAAACGTCTTCTGTTTTATCCGCCCCACATGCGATTGCGAGAAAGCCTTGCCTCAGTGAGATCTACGCTTTTACGACACCAAATTTGTGTGTTCCTCTTTAAATATTGAAAATTAATGTGGTGAAAATTTGCATGAATGTTTACCTTGCCTGTTTATAATTTTTTAGAACCCTAAAAGCTAGCTAGACTTGGTTTGCATTTTTTTTTTTCTTCATTTTACACTTTTTGGATAGCTGTTCATAAAGAAAAAATTTAATTCCTTCATGGGAGGATATCCCCCTCGCAGAGTTACAACGAAACAGTATGAGTTGGCCCCCACGTGCGCATTTTCCAGAATAGCGATACATTTTGAGTATATTGCAAACAGTTACATGTGCGAGTAGTTTGTGCCCCTTTGAGTTGGCTATTTTCTGCCTTCTCTCATGCTGCTCAATGGCAGCACGGCATTCTTAGAGATATACAGAATACACAAAGTGTAGACACATACAAAAAACACAAAGGATAGACACATGCCACACGGATATGAACAGATGTATATCTCCCGAACCTATAAGACTCCCCCGCGAAGCCCGCGCAGATACGTAACAGCACCATGAAGATGCCACACCTGAAAGTTTTCTTTTGGATCTGTTGGAACATCTTGACAAAATTGTGTAGCGCAAATGAGGAAACCAGTTTTTCAAATTTAAAATGGGAACATGACGTATTCAGCATAGGTGATCTGCACGGAGATATGGATGCGTTTTTAAAAATTCTACTGAATGAGAAAATGATTGATAATAATTATAATGTGATACGAGAAAATGTGCTTATAGTCATAACCGGTGACGTTTTGGATCCCTCTTATGATGACATAAATATATTATTTTTTATCGAGCAGTATAACGAAAAGGGGAAAACGATGAATTCAAAAATTTTAATGGTTCTGGGAAATCATGAAGTTAAAAACATGTGTTTAGAATTCAATAAAGTGGAAAAGGATGTAGAAAAGTACCAGAACAGAAATGACATGTTCCCGAAAAATGAAGTGATCTACAACATTTTAGTGAACAAGCCATTTGTTCTGAGGGTAAATGACATGGTATTTTCACACGCAGGGGTGTTGCCATTTTATGCCTCTTACGGTATTGATTATATAAATAAGGAGGGGAAAAACGAAATAGAAAATAATTGCAAACTCCTGTTCAACAAAAGAAAAAGAAAAGAAGAGTTTTGCATAAGCTGTGACTATGGGCCTACATTAAATCGGTATTTTTCTTTTGTGAACGATGGTGTTTTTAAAAAGTGGATGGTTTGCTCCACTTTAAACAAATCGTTAAATTTGTTAAGTTCGAGCAGAATGATAATTGGGCACACTGTTCAGACGAACAAAAAGATCAACAGCTTCTGTGATGACAAATTGTTGCTAACGGATACGAGCATAAGTAAATGGAAGAATGGGGTGGTATCTTATGTGCAGTATTTTAAGGACGGTACGTTTGATGTACGTTATGTGTGAAAATGGGGTCTTTTCCTCTTTTTTCTTCTTTTTTCTTCCTTTTTTCTTTCTTTTTTCTTTCTTTTTTCTTTCTTTTTTCTTTCTTTTTTCTTTCTTTTTTCTTTCTGTTTTTTTCCTTTATCGTTCATGCTGTGTGGAGTCGCGCAGGTGACATTTCACGTGGGTCGCATTGCCGCGCTTGTTAAAAGTGTGAATTAACATGTGCCAATTTGCTGATATGCTAAGATTTTTACACCATATGCATTTTTTTACTTACCTTTCATTGACTTTAGAAGCCAATGGTATACCAAGTGGTATGCTTACTTTACTTTCTTTATCACTTGCATGGGGTAATGGTGCCGGTGAAGTATACACGCCCACAAGCTTATACGTTTCTGCAAGCGCGGGAGGCATATTCTCATGGGAGAAGTTACAGGCGATAATGCAGTCCATTTTTGCACCCGTGTTGGCTTTCCCCGGACGCGTCATTTGTACCTTTTGAATACATCATAACGGTGAACATATAAATCTATGTCCATTTTTTTGGCGAACGGATATATTCTCTTTGCGATGTCGGCATGTTCGTGCCTCCTCGCTGGAGAAATGGTTCCTCTGTTTATGCGCATATTTATTTATTCATTCATTTATTCATTCTCTTGTGTACCTTTCCATTACTCTCAATTATACTCTGCCTACTGAAACCCCGCACAAGTGTACCTATAAGGTACGTACATACGTATGTACCGTTGGCGTCATGTATAAAAGCAAAGGTACACAAGGAGGTGAAGGCCCCAAATGGGGAATTGTAAATCCGATTAACTGGCGATATAGAAACTAGTGACCGCTGCAAGAGTATGGGGTTCACCCTGGGCACAAAAGACATATATACGTGCAAAACTACGGTTCGTAAAAATGAAGGGAAAAGCAGCGAAATTTTAAATGTACGAGTATAAGCATAACCAATTTGTGGAAATTCGCACACGTGATTTTCCCCCCAAAAGATATGCGTAACCCACTCCCATTTTAATATGTTAATTTTGCAATACACAACTCTCTGCGTATGTAGGTTACGAATGGTTCTTCAGCCTGTTACATATCTACAGTGCCGGCGTTTTTTAATTGGCATATTTTATTTTTTTTTCTTTTCCCTTTTTCTCGATTATATTTTCCCTTTCAATGTTGTCGAATTTGTGTTGTGTCTTGAGTGACTCCCCCAGTTGAATTTTTTAAATAAAGAGAATTGTGACATATAAACACATTTTATGTGTAAATGAAGTCATAATAAATGGAAGATAATTCAAAAGTGATTTCTTCTCTTTTTTTTTTTTTCTGTTTTACGCATCTTATAGTGTTTACGTGATGCTTCCTTCGCGTTGTACGCGCATATCTTTATGCGTTTTGTAAGTTTGCCCTATTTTTCCTTGTTCCCCGAATTGGTTCGTTTTTTTTTTCTAATGTTCCATTGGTTATGCATGTATTATGTATATATGATTACGTATGTACTGTTGCGCTTGATGAACCCTTTGCAAATCCGCCATCGCTAGATTTCGTGGCACTTTTTTTTACCTACCTCTTCTTTTCCCATGCTCTCGTCATTTCCGAATTGTAATTTTCCTGCGAATCGTATGTATATAATGCGCAATTCTGTACCGTCACCCGTCCCACACTCGCAATTTCCGCGGCATTAAAAATGCGTCCTTTCTTTAATTGCTGCAGCTTACATCTCGTCTATGCTCGCGCTGCTCTTCATGTGGTTTTCAATTTGTGATCGAAAGGCAATTAATTTGCAAATTTTACGCTCTTTGTGCGCATATTTGTATGTACATATATTTGTGCCGCATTTATATGTATATATATAATATACAATATATAACATGTAATATGCACTTACCGTTTCCTTCCTTTTTCGTATCGGAATTGTACAAATGCATACATTACATGTAGATTTAATTTTGCCAATTAGTCAGCAAAAGTACGATTAATTTCCCCATTTGAAATATGTAGTAATTTTATCATTTCCATTTTTTTTGTGAAGTTATTGTTTAATTTTTTTTTTTCTTATAAATGCCGAGGGACATTCCGCATGCAACGTTTGTATGCTGGGCGATGCTGACTGGGGAGGACGTTGGCGCACTCCGCCGAAATATGTATGCCTATGCGGCACGTACATATGTTTATGCGCACAAGTACGTGTCCCCATGTGAATCCGCCTAATCGCATTTGCGTATGCGACCCTATGGGGTGGTACAGTGTAGTGAGGACACCGGACTTACCACCCGACAAACCTGTTGCCGCCTAGTTTTGCTCACGGGCGCATAACAAACACGTGTATATAAAGACGTGCATACAGACACGTACATATAAGCGGGTACGTAGAGACGCGTACATATATGTGTACCTGTGCGCGCACCCCGTGCGACCCAGTCGGAAGAAATGCTCAAGGGCAGCAGCAACCACGACGATGTCAGCGATGACGATTTTGTTAGCGAGAAGCAGATTTTCCAAGGCCCGAACAAGACCATCCTGACTCTGGAATCCATCCATGTCGTTAAAGGGATCGACAAACATGTAAAGAGGAGGATAGAGGAGGGGAAGGTATACCTCAGCGATATAAGTCCTGTGAAAAACGCAGAAATTGAAGAGGCCTTTTTAAAGAGCCTACGTGACAATGCTTTGAAAAATAACATCATAAGTAAAAAAAACTATTATAGTGGCAAGTCCACTAAAGATTTGAATATTAAAATAGAGGAGAATTACAAATGCTTCAGCTTAGACCATGCCCAGGCGCATGAGGAGGGGCACACCGATCGAGGCGACCCAGGTTGGCACCATGGTCGCAGCAATTTGAACAGCCCCAATGATAGTGAAGAATTGAGCAGCGGAGCGGTGGGAAGGCGGCCAATAAAAGGGAAGCCGAAAAGGAAACACAGGGTTCCCCAAAAAAATAAAGACAAAGGGGAGGAAGAACGGGGTGAAGAAGCACACAAGGAGGAGAAGAAGAATAAGCAGAACGACGACGACGAAGAGGAACACAACGGGGATGATATACCGAATGACCAAGTTGATAACGATGCCTCCAACGAAGCGGAGGAGGCGATCCAGCCGTACTACAACCACATTAACTCCTTTGTCCAGAAAAGCCTAAAACCGAGCTTGTTGGAAAAATTCTCCTTCAACGATTTCCCAGAGTTGCTCGAAAGAGAAACAATCGATTACATAAAAAAAAAGGAGAGAAAGTTACAGAAGAGAAGATTAAACGCGAATTTGGAGGCCCTAAGGTTGCAGTACATACCGATCAATAATGACAAGTTTAAAAACATTCCAAGAGAAATTAAAGAAAATATTTTGGCCCTATTTGCATGTATCATAATAAAACATATCGACTCTTTTGACGATATGCAAGTGCAAAACAATTTGGAGGAGTTGTCTAGAAATTTCCTCAAACAGCTGTCAGACTTACTCGTTATAGATCCCCTAGCGTATAAGTGCATCATGAAGCCGCTGGAACAAAGAGAGTTAATCAGGGACATCACGGGGGATAAGAAGATATATCAATTGTACGAGAAACCATTTGTCGATAATTTATTGGTACAAATAAAGGACCTCCAAGCAGGCATAGATTTGAAGTTTAAAAAAGTGGTAGAAGAATTGAATAATGAAATGGATTTTTGGCAGAATGATCACATCACTGATGAACATAATAACGATCTCTTTAGTGATGTGGACAGAGACATAATACCATACGGCGTTCAGAGGTGCTACAGCAACAGTAGCAACCTTCTGGACGATGATGAAGACGATCATGGCGACTGCAGGAGCGATGTCAGAAACTTGTCTTCCGCTCGGGGGAGTTTTATCCAAAGAGAAATTGATGAATCGTACAGTGGGGAAGCCATCCATGATTACTTTTCCTGGGGAGACAGCAAAGGCTCCCGGGGTTCTAAAAAAAATGGGAGAGGTGACCACGCAGTGGTACGTACCGGTTGCGGCCCCTCCCCGTTAGAAGCAGTGGGAAGGGAAGATCAAAGTTGTGTTGACACACAGAATAGGAAGAGAAAGAACAAAGTGAATCCCGCGCATAATGAAAAGAGGGCCCCCCCGGAATGTCACAGAGGCAGCCAAATGATGCAGGAGAGGACCAGCAGCCTGTATGACGCAAGCGGATGTAATGCTCCTCCGGGAGTCGACATGGATATTCAGGGGGAGGCAGGCGGCGATGGGATGGGAAGCGACAGTGGTAGAACACTCGGCGGGGGGAGGGAAGCCCCGCAGGGTGAAGCTGCGAATGACGAGGCTAATAAAACTGCCCGTGAGGCTCCTGGCCAAGACGAGCAGGAAGCCCACCTGGGGGATGGCCCCCCCAAACAGCCAGGTGAAAGTGACCGCACTGACGACATGCAGTGCAAAAGTAGGAAATGTGCCGGGGAGTCGGAGAAGGCAGACGGGGTAGGATCGTTGCAGCCGAGTGTGGAGCAGTCGGGGAAAGTGGAGTCCACCAAAGGGGAGTCTACCCGAGAGTTCACCAAAGTTGCGCCTGATAAACCCGGCGAGAACCAAACGAGGAGACCACCCAGCCCCATGGGCGATAAGAACATGGCCGTCGAAGGAACCGAGTCCGATGGAAAGTATCGCCAAAGCGTAGGTCCCAGCATACAGGCGAGAATCAAAACGAGCATCAGCCGCTGCGAGACATTCGAAGGGGAAAGCGAATATGAAGAGAGCGACATAGACAAACACCTAAACCATGGCGTGCCCACCAGAGGACCCGAAGTGAAGTCAGTGCTTCTCAGAGACCTAATCACGACTTACATCATGACAGGAAATAATAATGCTAGAATACAATTATATTTTCAGAAGTTTGCCAGATGTTTAAAAATAAATGAGTTATTAATTTTAAGGATAGAAGAAAATTTGGCGGCCGATTTAATAAGTGCGTTACAAGCATCAACAAATGAGACTTCCAAGAGGAAGAACATAAGGAGGATAAAAATAGCAGCTGCTGCTTTAGGTGGGGGAGCTCTGATAGCCTTCACCGCAGGGTTAGCTGCTCCTGGGATTATAGCTGGTTTGACTGCGTTAGGTGCTGGGGGAAGTAGCCTTACTGCCTTCCTAGCATCAGCTAGCGGTTTGGCTTTTATTGTATCCTTGTTCGGTGCAGGAGGAGCTGGATTGACAGGGTACAAATACAGCAGAAGAATAGCAAATATAAGAACGTTTGAATTTATAATGCTAAATGGAACTCTCTCAAAATCGCTAAGTGTATCTGTATGTGTGAGTGGGGAAATACAAACAGATGAAGACATAACCAACCCATGGATTGACGTCTTCCCGAACTGTTACTGTGATTTGTATGCATTGAAGTGGGAGAACCATTTGCTAAGAACATTGGGTTCTTTGATCGAAACGATGTTGTCTCAAGAATTTGCAATAACAGCTAGTCGAATATGGCTGCAATACACCATAGCCAGCACGCTCAGTGCTGCCTTGACGTGGCCACTGGCACTAATTAAATATGCCTCAAACTTGGACAACGTTTATTTGCTCATACGGGAGAGAGCGCAGCAGGCAGGAAGAATACTAGCAGAGGCTTTGAGTGACAGAAACACTGTTGGTCAGAGACCAGTTATCCTTATTGGGTACTCCGTTGGGGCTCGTGTCATTTTTTACTGTTTAAAATATTTGCACGCAAAAAAGCTCTACAATATTGTTAGCAATGCTATATTTATAGGCCTCCCTGCAACTACCAGCACAAGGGTATGGGAGAAAATTAGGATGGTGGTGACTAACCGAGTGATTAATGTTTACTCAAAGAATGATTGGCTGTTGGGATTCTTGTACAGGTACATGGAGTGGAAGTTAAGTGTCGCTGGACTTATCGCAGTTAATGTGCCCAATGTGGAAAATTATGACGCCAGTGGGATTATCCACAGTCATTTGGATTATAAGAGGAAGCTCAAGGACATTTTTAATTTGATAAACTTTGACATGTGAGGCGGGGGCGGGAGGGGTGGAAGCGAAAAGAAGTGGTAGCGCGAAGGAGGAGGCGAAAAACGGCGTAGTGGAGAACGATGTAGTAGGGGTAAGGCCCCCGTTCGGATGACCCACCAAGAGTGATCGCTTGTGAATGAACACCCACTTGGAGCAAACTTCCCCCCCCTTCCGCCTCCGGACGCTCACACTACATGTTCATTTTAATTTTCAATTTTTTTGCACGGAGTTCGATTTTTTAAACCATCCAAATGTGTATCTGCACGAAGAAAAGCGCGCGTCGTTTATCCCCCCTTCCGTTCTCCTATATCATATGCATTTTTGTTATGTCTGTACATTTGGCTCTGCCTTTTGTTGTAAAAAGGTCAGGGTGCATGGAATTCACTTTTTTAAACCTATGGTCATGAAATTTTTAAACAAATTCCGTAAGTTGGGATGAGACGCAACCTTAGTGTGACGTGATGAAATAGCAACCAGGGGTGTGTACCATCACACACTATGTAGAAAAGGGTATCCATTTGGCGCTTTTTTTTTCCGAGTTCGCTTATATGAGCAAGTTCATCATTCGGATCATTCGGATCATTCGGATTATTCGGATTATTCGGATTATTCGGAGCATCCTTTTGTGGGCTTCCCCTTTTGCACAATTTGGGAAGATCACATAGAAGGACATGTGTCCATCCGGGTATATTTTTTTTCCCAATCTTGTCGCACTTGATAATTTAACAAAAAGGGCACGATAATTATTGGGCAGTTAGCCATAACGCTGTTTCGCAAAGAAAAAAGAACAAAACGAAGGGGAAAAAATCGGATTAAACAAACGACGCATGCCTATGTGCGATATATCAATCCATAGGATAAATACAAACGTGGGTGTCCATCCTGGCGAAACGCCTTAAGGAGCCACCATCTGGACGAACATGGTACAGACATGGTCGTATAGCGACAGACGCTGGCACTTTCCAACGTGCGTAGGATGGTGCGTCCAGTGGTCCGTCGGGTGATGCTTCAAACGGTGAGAGGATTCCTCACTGCGCGCACAAATTTGAACACCTAGGGGTGCAATAACAAATCGGGTTGAGCATTACACTTCTATACGTAATGTGAAAAAAAAGAAAAAAAGGTCAAATTAGAACAAAGACAAAACGTTAAAATCGGGGTCCTCGTGATTATCGTAGTACTGATTCATGTTGTAGTCCACATCTTCCTTTCCTTCAAAGATGCTGAGGACGTTTCCATCCGTTTCGCTCGCGACGCTGCCTTTCCTCTTCACGCCGTTATCATCTGCAGAGGGAGAAAAATACACAAACATGTATAAGCAGTGCGGGTAAACAGCGTGGGTGCTTTGCCATACAAGAAAAAACAAAAAAAGAAAAGAGAAACAAATTAGACACCGAATGTAACACACACGGTTAGAGAGTGTACACAACGTGCTGCACGCCACCCTCGCCGCCTTCCCTTCTTACCGTCAGCGATGAACGAAGATGCGTCGCTATTGAGATCCCCAGATGTCTCAATCCTCCCATTCTCATTCTCGTAGGCATCCAAATCGATTTCCTTGTTCTTCTTTATGGCCTCCTCAATCTTCAAGGGGTTATTCCTTCTCTCCTTTTTATACTTGTCCCTAATTTGCTTGTCCGAAAATTTGGGTAAGAAGGCACGAACCATCATTAAGTCCACGCCGAACATTTCAATTGCTTGATAAAACTTATCCGTCTCTTCTTCCGTCCATTTAAATAGCGCCGTCTTTTTATAGGCATTGTTGTAGGTCTCTACTTGGCTCTTATTCAAGTTTGCACTAAATTTCCCTTTTTTCGACATGAACATGTTCATACGGTTACTCTGAATGGAATTTGCACTCATAATGATATTCGAATTGTATTTTTTTTTATCTTCGTAGATCACCTCTCCACTTTCTGTGATGTTTAATTTGTTGGCAAAACTGTGCGCTGGGCCGTCCAGCAGATTGATAATGTCGTCTGCGTTATTTTGTTGCAGGGGGGGTTCGTTTTCCCAGCTGAGTGCATCCTCTGCGTAGTTGTGATCTGCATCGTTTAAGAGTATCTCCTCGACGCCTATCACATTATCTGCACTCGTGGACACTGCTGCTCCTCCCTTGGGGTGTGAAACCTTTTCCTCCATTTCGAGACTTCTAAAAATGCTATTAACAATGTCGTCAGCCTCTTCCTTACTGGTACCATGGGTACTGACACCTACTTGTCCGCTGTTCCATTCGTTATTGTTCCCCATAAAACTGAAGTCATTCTTATTTGTGTACATTAACTCCTCCATTCGTACATTCTCTGATTGGGCTTCTACCTGGTTGACGGAGTTTATCTTTAACTTCTTCGTTCCTTTCTTTTGCACTAAGTCCCAGATGGTGTCCCCGTTATCTGCAAGTGAGGCGATTACCCAAAACGTGAGACAACAAGCAAGAGTAAACCTCCACTCATGGGGGGAGAGAGATGAGGAAACAAATGTCATAGGTAACTCCAAAGCGGAAAAAAACTACACTCGATAAGTTACACCGAGACCGTCATGTACCTCCCTCATTTGGACTCCTTTTTTAAAACATTACCAGCATTAGCATCATTTGAGGGACACGGCGTTTTCTTCCTCATTTTTTTACTTATAAACTCTGAGTAATGCGAGGAACTGCTAAAAAATTGCTTCTCCTTGGGCGGCTCCAGCTCAGTGTCTTCTGTCATTGCGGGGAGATCATTTGGGTCCTGTCGGGGGGGAAGAAAAGATAGGAAGCAGATATGGGAAGCAGATATGGGGACAAAGGAGGCCATCTCACGTAGGTATCTACACACGAGCGAATAAGCACTTAAACATGCCGGCGCAGTGAAGTGTGTGAGGGAAATTTCATACACATGCATGTCTGAAGGCACACGCGAGAAACCACAGCGGACTATGTAAAATTGATCTCTAGTTAGTACCCCACGAGATCGGGGTGCTTAAGTCTCCACATACCGTATCAAAATAGAGAACATTTTTGTTCATTTTATTTTCTGGTAACATCTGGTCCGGGTAGTAGACCATCTTGTTTGCGTTTTCCACTCCGTCCAATTCGTGCTGGACATACGCTCCAGGGTTATTCCTTTTTTCGCTTTCTTCTTTGCCTCCACTGATGCCGCTACCTTGTGGGTAGAAGTACCCTGTGCTGTTGTTCTGGCTCTCATCATTGGATCCATCACCGTATACATAACTGACATTACCGTAGTTAAGATCCAAGTTTAAGTCTTCGTTGAGAGTTTTGTTGAAAGCAGCCGCCTGTTGCTGGGCGGTCACCGTGGTGCTGCTGTTAAAGTGGTTGTAGCTGGCGCTTAGCGATTCTTCCCCATAGAGGGTTGAGTTGGATTTACTCTTACTATTCTCACTCTGGCTGTAGTAAGTTTTCGTCTTATGTTCCACTGGCTTGTTTTCATTCACGAGAAACTGCTTCTCGAAGGAGGCGTCCGCTTTGTCAAGGCCAGTTGACGCTTTGGCCATCATCAGGTTCATTCCGTTGGGCCCACAGAACGATTTTTCCTCCTTGGCCTGTTTGTTTAGGAAGTCACCCGGGTTGTTTGGGAGGTCTCCTGTTTTGTTCATGTAATCTGCCACCTTCTTCAGATCATCCTCCGACTTTCCCATACCGTGTTCCACACTGCTATACGTCTTGTACGTTCCCTTTTGGCCCTCGGGCTCCTCTCCCGATATCGTCGTCACCTGTTCGTAGTATTCCTCCTTCAATGAGGCCACCACACCCGCGCCATGCTTGCCAGCAACTTTATGCGCTCCGTGATCGTTGTTGTACCCGTAGGAGTGCTGCGTCTTCAGGTTCAGGTTTTGATTATGCCTGTTGGAGCTGTTTATAGCGTAGAATTCATCCCCCAAGAGGACTGCTCCAGTGGGGATGGTCGCTCCAACGGGGAGGCTGCCCACTTTTAGCAAACCGCCCACATTGACGACACCATCGTGATGCTTGCCATTTTCACCGCTGCTAGGGAGGCTAGTGCCATACATCTGCTCTGAGCCGTAAAGCGCACTCGACCTCTGGTTCATCTGATTTAGATCTTTCTGATGTCCCTCTTGTTCCTTTTCTTTTCCCATTTTGACTTCAAAGCTGGCCATTTGGTATGCAGGCAGTTGGTCCACTTCGCCCTCTTTGTTACTGTCCGTCTTTTGATACGCGGCAAAATCGATAATTTTCATGTCTTTGTAGTCATTTTCCCTATATTGTACATTGCTGAACTCACCGTTGAAGCACATTTTCTCATTCATAGGGGGAATGTTTTTCGCATCGGTTAAGTTGTCATCTATTTGATTTACGTTTTTCTTCTTCGATTTCTCATTCAGGTTAATACTCGGGTAGGTATTCATCTCATTGGGGGGTGTTGTCGGCATTGCTGCTACTTGTTTGTCCTGTAGACCCCTGGATGAGTCATCATAACTCTTTATTTCGCTCTTTGACATGTAACTCCTCATGTCGGGAATATCACTCGGGTAATTATTCACGAAGGGGTAGGGCGTGGGTTGGTTGTTCCTCATGCTAGTCAGTGCGCTGTTCATGTTGTTAAGGGGTTGAAAATGGAGGGGGATGCCTCGGTTGTCCACACCTCCGTCGGGGAGGCTTCCCCCCCTTATCATGGCCACCATTCCGCTGTTCTCCGTGGCGGCAGTTTTAATCTGCATACCTTTTGCGTCCACCTTGTCCATGCCAACGTAAGGGTTAAAGTTACCGACCATGGGTTTGTTGATGAGCGCGTTGGGAGCATCAAAAGGCATTCCATTAATGTTTTTACTTATTAAATTGGGGGTTGTTGGGTGATGGGGGTGATAATAGATGGCGCCACTACCATCCTCAATCTTATTCACCCGATTTTTATTTTTTTTATTTTTTTCCATTTGTTTCTCTGCTTTGAGTAACTGCTTCCTTTTCTTGTCGTATATTTTCTGCATTAATTTTTCTTCTTTTAATTTTTGCTTCTCATCTTTCTTCATTTTTTTCCTCATTATTTCTTCCATTTTGTCTTTACTTTTTGTTTTTCGTGCCCCTTTTAGGTTGTCACTTAGGGTTAGGTGGATCTCATCCGAATTGGGCATAGGCAGTACACTTGCAACGTTGCTGACATAGGGATTGCTAAACGGTTCTTTCTTCATTGCATTTGGTCCTGTCCTCATGTCCATTCCATCCGTACGGTTAAGTAACGCGTTATTAAAATGTGCTTCAGCAGGGTTCAAGTTTCCGCCTGGTAAGCCACTACTACCAGTGCCACCTTGGGGAGCCCCGTTTGGGGGGATATTATACATGGGGACTGCGCAGAACGGAACGTTGTTGAAAGGGACCCTGTTATGCGGATTGTTATGCGGATTGCTGTTGCACGGGAGGAGGGTTCCTCCCATGGCCACGCCGCCATATGGTACATTACTAATAATATTTGCCGCGCTTTTACTCGGATTGCTGAACATACTTGCATTGGCCATCACATCGAGGTTGCTGTCTGGTTGTTCCTTTATCATGGATTGCTTTTTGTCGACACCGATAGAAGGGGTTGTCATCGCCGCGGTGGAGGGATTAGTACTCCCGTTTATGTTTCTGGGTGGATGTGCCTTGCCATTCGGACGAAGTGTGCCATCTGTGGGGAGGTTCGTCAGGCTGGTCAAACTGCCCACATTGTTCACAGAATCGTCGTCCACGTTGGAGTTCTCCTTCCTGGCGTAGTAATTAAGCAAGTTGTTCGGATACACCATATCCACGGGGGCGTTACCATCGTTTGGTGCTGTGAGTTTCACGGGGCCGCTGTCTTTGTGTAGGTTGTTCTTGTGAACATTGTTTTGCGAGTAACTGCCGTTATTTGTCACATGGGCCATGTTGGTCACACCGGGCATGCTCCCGCCGTAGAGGTTTACTCCTGTATCGGCCTCCGAGGGGAAGACCCCAACCTTATTGTTATTTGTTTCATAAGCGGGAGGTCCGTCTTTTCCCATTTTATAGGAATCATCTTTGCTGATTAATTGATCCTGTTCTGTGATGTACATATGATCTTTCTTGTTCTTCCTCTTTTTCAATTTTGTGTTTTTTCCTTCCTTCTTACTGTCATTTGTTTGTGATCCGCTAGGCAAGGTGCCCGTCAAATCTTGTGTCATTCCACTGGCCATTTCGTTTGTCAGTCTATTCATTATGCTCATGTAGTTCTCGTTTCCTCCACTCATTATCTTGCTCATATAACTGGGGTTGTCGTGGCTTAATACAGTATTCATGTAATTAACGTAGTCCATATAACCCAGATTGTTTATGTCGCGAGATTCATTCGGTACGATCGATTCATTCGGTACGATCGATTCATTGGGTATGATCGAATCACTAGGGAGGGTGATCCCCTTTGGGGCTTTGGCTTGATTTGCCGTGCTGCTGAGTCCATTCGGGGGAACAACCCCGATGGGTGCGCTTCCCGTAAAGACGCCATTTATGTAGCCCATGCCAGTAACATAACCCATGTCGCTGACTCGACTATTGTTCGGAAAAGCATTTCCTGAAAACTGTTGATTCATTATCATGTTGTCCAGAGCCTTTATTCGCCCCTTAAACCCACTGAGATTTTCCCCCTTGACGTAATTCATGTTACTCTTACTGGTGTTTGCCACTTCCGCATTGACGTTATTTGAGAGATCTTTGTACTTATTTTTTTCCTCCGTCGATAGTTGCTTCCACAATTTGGACACATAAGAATTTTGCTGGGCTAGGGTTAAGCCCATGTCAATATTTTTCTCCTTATGTTCCTTTCTTTTCTCTCGAGCAAAAATGCTAAAGGCAGTAAACTTTCTTTTTTTCTTCTTTTTCTGGGACAAATAATTTTCCTCATTTATTTTGGACGCTTTGGCAGCCCATTCCTTTTTTTCCTCATCGGTTAGGCCGTTCCAAATTTTGGCTACTGCTGTTGTCTGCTCGGTGAGGGAACTCCCTAGGAACACTTTTTGGTTAAGTAGTTCCTTCCTTTTTTCTCTAGCGAAGAGGGTAAACGAGGTTATTCCTCTGATTGTTTTCTTCTTTGCTTCTTTGGTGTCGTCTGGGTGGTTCTCATTCGTGGGCTCCTCCATGCCGTAGTCGTTTAGATACTCATTCATGTAATCCTGCATAGAGTCGTTGACGTAATCGTTTGCGCATTCGCTTCCATACTCCTGAGAGTGGTCATTGGAGTGGTCACTTGGGTGGCCATTTGGATGGCCATTCGAACTCCCCTTCCCGTAGTCGCTGCTTCCTCCCAGGGGGTATATCCCTTTATAATTGGGGCCCAAATTAGGCGCACAATTGGTTCCTTGGTTAGGGGAGTAACTGGCCGCATAGTTAGCCACATTGTTAGTCGCATAACTGGGCGCACAGCTGGGCGCACAGCTGGGCGCGTAACTGCCTGCGTAGTTTTCGCCCTGGGCGCCTTCAAACTTGTTCGCGTGGAAGGCGCTAGCCCCCTTGGGAGACGGCGGCCCTTTGGCGTAGGTCTCATTGGGTTGGTCGTTAACATTCATGTATTTGCCGCTGGGATTGGTCTCATTTGTATAAGCGCCACTGGCGCCTGGCACATTTGCGTAGGCGCTGTTCTGATTGGGTACATTTGTGTACACGGCACTGGGATGAGTCACGTTTGAGTAGCCCCCCTTCGGATGAGGCACATTGGAGTAAGCACCCGTAGCGGGCGACATGCTCGTATAAGGGGCACTCCCAGGGGGGGTGGTATTCAAGGGGGGCCCGTTACTGAGTGGAATATTATTATAGGGAAAATTCGCGGGGGGCATATTTGCAAAAGGGGCTCGTCCCCCTCCCACTGGGGGAATGTTCGGGTAGAGAACACTGGGTGGAGATACGTTCATGTAGGCACCATTGCCCTGGGGGATGTTCCGATAGGCAGCAATCGGGGGGGGCACATTTGGGAAGATTCCTCCCCTGGTGTGAGTCAGGTTGGAGTAAGTCCCACTGGCATGGGGCACGTTCATCATGGGTGGCATCTTCAAATAGGGTACTTTTAAGTATGCCACTTTGGAGTACTCCATTTTGGTATACCAAATGTCCGAATATGTGGGATTTTTTTTTTTTTTCTTTTTTTTCTTCTCTAAAACATCTGGAGCGGTACTCCCCTTTGTGATACTTTTTCCAATGTTGTGAATCAAGTTGCTGGTTCCTTTAAAGTCTTTGCAGTTATATAATTTGGGGATTAAATTTCTGATCGATATTCTTAGCAGTGCATTGCTCTCACAGGTGTCGTCATTGTCATTATCATTCGTGTATGCACTGCAATTCCCATAGTCGCTTGTATTTTCTTGGGCACTACTATCAGCTGGACCAAAGCTATACGTATGGGAGCTACTATTCTCGTAGCAGCTACAGCTATTTTCATGACCACTTCCATTGGATCCACAGTAACTAGAAGTTCTGTAACTCCCTCGTCGGTATGTGCTGCCTTTCTTCATCAGGTGCAACTGCTCCATGCACTCATCAAATAAATTCCTCTCTTCGTCAAATTTGAAATCTTTTACCGTGCCTCTTAAAGTTCTTAATTTAAAAATAAGTTGTTCTTTCGCGAACTTTAACTCTATCTGATTTAGCAGCTTCTCGTACATGTCCACATCATTGGAAAGAAGGAAGAAGAGAAAGTCTGTGTCTTTGTAGCTAATGTTATGTATCTTCTCCAAATGCATGATTGCATTCATCACATCCTTCGTGTTGTAAATGAATAAGAAGATAAGTTTCTCATTCCTTATGATCAGGAAGTATATATTCTTCACGTACAGGAATATCTGCTCTATATTCAGGTGCCTGAGGAGGTTGTTGTTTCGCAGGTAATTGAATATTTTTTTCTTTATGTACTCCTCCGAGTTTTTGTATTTGCTTATGAATCGATTTGATGTGAGTTCGTTTATCTTGTCCGAGTACATTTTGTAATTCTCCCCCTGATTTGGGTTTCCGCTTCCGCTTCCCATTCCGCTTTGGTCCTCTTTCCCGTTTTGGTCTCCATCACCGCCCTGTTCTCCACCACCGCCCTTTTCTTCGCCATCGCCCTGTTCTCCACCACCACCATCGTCGCCACCTCCACTCTGGTCAGCGTCTCCTCTCTCCTCGCCATGACCGCTTCCACCATCGCCACTCTCTCGCTTGGCGTTGTCACCGCTTTCGGGATTTCGGCTTTCAGCGTTTCCCCTGTCGACTTCTCCATTGGAGGCTTCTCCGTTGTACGCTTCTCCACTGTCGCTGCCCATCACTAGGGTAATATCCCTGCTACTGAGAGGGTTATACCCTCGAACGGGACAGACCAGATAAGACTTATCACCACTGCTCACGGGGGCAAAACTGTTCACGGGCATCCCTCTTCCATCGCCAAAGGAAGATCGGCAGTAGTATTCATTCGCGAAATTCCCATTTTGAGAAAGGTGACTCCCCTTCTCGGGTTGATTTTTCAAATCCTCTTTATTGTAATTTTGTTCATACACCGCCTCGTGATGACAATGCGTCACAATGTTGTACAGAGATAATTCGTCTCTATCGAACTCTTTCAGTTCGTCTTTCTTGTCATTTACCGAGTTCAGACTTACAGTGGTGTTGCAGCTACATGGGATGGTGTCATCTTTGCTTCCTCCCCCTTCCTCATACGTCGAAGTTTGTTGGTTAAACCGTTTGGGACACTTTTTGATTTCCGTATCTACGTCGGCCTCGGATTTTACATGCGCGTCTGCTTCTACATCCTTTTCCGCTGTGATTCCCTCGGCTGCTATGCCCTCCTGTGCCTCTAATTCATCCTCCCCCTGTATGGACGTTTTCTGCTCATTCAGAGTGAACTCCTGAGCTATAGACGTTTCTTCGTCATTAAAAGGGGCAGGCCTATGTCTACTTCTACCTTCGGAGTTGTTCATTCCAGTCAAGCTGTGCACTTTGTCGTACAGAATATTGTTTCCTCCGTTCAGGTTCAGCAGACATGGGGAATTAAGGATGTTATTGTCCAGGTAATTTTTATTTTCTTTCATCTGCAGCATTTCGAAGGTCCCTTCCCCCTTTACCATGTCCATTTTGTGTGGAAGAAGCGTGGTAGGATCGCGTTGTGTACCCTTTTCGCGATGCTACCACGCAATACTGCACAGTAATCGATCTTCTCGTCTTCACGTCAGTTGGTGACCCTCCCCCTATTGCCTTATCCTTCCCTTAGCCTACTCTTATGTTGTTTACTCAAAAATTAAAAAGAATGACAAACAGAGTACTTCAAGAAAAAAAAAAACAGAGTGGGAAAACTTATCTGCGGTCGTTCTCCAACCTGCATTATATATTTACTATTCACACAAGATGTGTTTTGTAGCACAAGTACAAAATGTAACTACTTCCTGCGAGTGTGGGATGCGTGAACTAATAGACAGACACCTCAACGCAAGATCGCTAGGGCACTCACAGGTACAGAGGTACACTACAGCGGAGTTTAACACACCACGTGATGTACAACATAACACGGTGACAGACCATAACACTACCTAATCGCACTGGCGCGCGTCAAAGAATACTTAAAAAAAGAAAAAAAAATTTAATACTCTCTTGCCACATTGCTTTGAAAGAAAAGGCGGAAAAAATTTACAAAATGGGGGGTCAGGGAATAGGGAAAATAAAAGACAAAGTCAAAGGGGAAGACTATGCAAACTAAAGGCTACCGCAGGGAAGCACTCGGTGGTACTATATATTACGCATGTTCCGTCCTCGTCACGTATAACTTAATTACTTCTTTGGTTCCTTTCAGATCACAACGAACTTCCTCAACGCCCCTGGCCAACCGTACGTTTCTCGCATGTTGCGTACATAATGCTGTACGACGTATGCAAAGAATGAGGGGATGGTCAGTTACATGTCCATATGCATATGAAAATATCTGCGTATGTACGCCCTGAACGAGCGTAACCTTCCGCGTTCTTTTGCCAAAAATGAAGAAAAAAAAAAAGAAAAAAAAAAAAAGGAAGAAAAAAAAAGGAAAAAGAAAAAATATATGTATATACTGTTTTACAATTAATTGTGCTATACAGCTATACAAGGTTATATACGTCGCGCATACTCCGAGCGGTCATATGGTACAAATATACGTACGTAATAATCCCGCATTAACAACTCTTTATATGGGGGGCAGGGCAAGATAAATGCTACGAGAATACTGAAAGTTCTTTGATTCGCTCCTTTAAATAAAGCAACAGGTAGCATTCAATTTTGCAAACGGTAACAAAAAATTTACGCCGTGAAAAAAAAAAAAAAAATTACAATACTGTGGTGGGATATGCCAAAACGCGTTTACCTTTACTGCTGCGGCGTTGGTGAACTTTTTGCGCGGTTTTGCTTGCTACTTTTTTTCCATCTCCAGTAAATTTTATTTGCTCTTACTTTAAGAAAGGTTTACAAAGGAAGAACATTTTATGCAGTTGATAGCATTTTCTTCCTTTTTATGGGCGTTAAGACGAAACTTTTTTTGCGCAGAAAAAAAAAAAGAGGGAGGCACAGAAAAGGGACATGTTCCCTAGGCACAGCTGTACAGATCTATAATACGTGCACGTATGTATCGCTATCCTTACTCCAATGTATATAAACAAAACTGCCCACACGTGCGGATGCTAACACGAGCATGGAACAAAAGGAGCTTTTATACAACTGGGTTGGGAACAAAAGGGTGGCTGGAAAAAAGTCACTCTGCTGAAGAGACTAAAATTAATTAGGAACTATATTCTCCTCATGAAAAAAAACGAGCACCCTCTCTCTGTCGTATTCCTTTGCTTACAACATTACGTATGCACATCTTTCATTGGGTGATGTACATGCAATTGACGCAGCCACGTGGTCAAACTAGCAAAGGAAAAATGCCACACTTGGCTCACGCGACAACTTCGCCTATGCATGCGGAACGCTTAAGAGGCAGAAAAAAAAAGGGGGGTCGTTAGCCTTATATATATGTGCATGCAGGCAGTGATACCTTCTTAGGTAGTATCCATAGAGTTACAGTTCATGGTATTAAACACGTGGATGAATAAAACAAAAGTGAAACAAAATGGATGGAGAAGCCAAATGGATGAAAACCAAATGGATGGAAAAGCCAAGTGGAGGTAAACCAAATGGAAAACAGAACAAACTGGAAAAGAAAACAAAAAGTGGAAAAAGAAACAAACGGGAGAAAAAAACTTGTAAAACTACCAAAGCACAAGAGTGCTAAAAGGGAAAAACTTAAAACGTGAAGCCACAGAAACGAAAAAGTGAAGAAAAAAAAAAACCTCACTGTTTAACGTTAAGCAGGAAAGAGTACACTCTTTAGATAAAAATGAATGGCAGGGAATTGTTTACATAAAAATAAATGGTAACAGTTCCTGATGAATTTAAAATTTCACTAAACAGTTAAAAATGAAATTTCCATTTGCTCGGGAAAACATGGCGTGTATAAATCCCTTTTTTGGTTAAAACGCAATCATATTTTTCTTTGTTTTTTTTCTTGTTCTTTTTGAGCTTTATATGTGAGTGTTTATATGAACGGGCGTAACCGTTAACCTCGCACACTCAACAATTAGTGGTCGTACATTCCACTGTGCGGATGTAAACGGTGTATGTACGGCGAGAATACGTGGTGGGTTTGCTCGGGGGGATGTATGCAAGCATGCGCCGGTTACCACACGTGCACGTGAGCAGACGCGTTGGTATGCATTTATTTGTATCAGCTTATTTGTATGAGCTTACTTGTATGAGCTTACTTGTATGAGACTACTTGTATGAGCTTATTTGGATGAGCTGAGTGGTATGCACTTCTTGGTTAGCAGCTCCTTTCCCGGTTTCCTCTCATTTGCGGACTCATAAGGCGGGCCTGGACGAATTTTTTTATTTTTTTCCACCCTTTTTGCTTGCTCCGCTTAAACACATTCTCCACCGTTCATGTGGAGCAGAAGTCTCAATCCGTCTGGTAGACATGGCGGGCATCATTAAGGTTGCGACGGGTGAGGGATAAAATAGCGATCGTTGCAAGTGGAGGCAAAATGCGGGTGTGACATGGCGAGGTGGCTGCACAAAGCGGCAAACTAAGGTCCCGTGACGAGGCGGTATGACACTGTAGCGTGACCAAGTTGCACAAGGTGACATGAAGGAAGAGCGGTACCCTTGGCCGTGCTTCGTAGCCCTCAATAACCCTTAAAGTTATCCTTCATCACGCGCAAAAGGGCTATATACTCAGACTTGGCACTAATAACGTAATGGTTCCTTTTTGCGTACTTATTAATTTCGTTCTGTATGTATTCCTCATCACATCGCAAGAAGGGGTTGTATGCGAATTCATCTTCCAGGAGAGAAGGCACAGTGGGAAGCATATTTTTGTTTGCCAGAAGTTGTTGCTGGAAGGCAGCCAATAGGGGGTTAAGTCCATCTACAGTTAAAGCAAATTTTACATTGTCTTGTGTATATTCATGTCCGCAAAAAATGTAAATGTTTGCTGCGTCTTTTTGTAGCCTTTTTAAATTCTTTACAGAATTGTGCAAGTCGAAATTGTTGCCTTCAAAATTTTTGCCCAGTCCACATATGAACAGAAAATCTCCTGTAAAAAAAATTTTATTCTTTGAGGAATCTTTTTGGGCATTTTCCACTAAGTATGAAATATGATTATTACAGTGAAAATGTGACAGAAATGTGGAAATTTTAAAGTTATTTATTTCGAAAGTTTGTACGTTTTGAAGATTTCTATTTATGTATCTATTGTCCTTTTCTTTAATTCCATACACATTAATTTTTTTGTTGAAAAAGTAGCTATTTCCCCCATTATGGTCAGCATGTTTATGTGTACATAGCACATTTTTAATTTTTATATTTTCCATTTCGGCGACTTCGTTAACGACGTTGTAGTCACTTGGATCCACTGCCACTCCTTCATCCTTATCATCGTAAAAAATATAGGCATAGTTGTCTCTGTACATGGGGACGATGATCACATTTGTACACATATCAGGTTTCTTCACGATGAAATATTTTTTGTCCTTCTTGGTGAAGCTGGTAATATGTACATTATTTCTGCTGAAAAGTCCCCTTTCGAAAAATAGCCTGCTGGACAGAGACTGTCGGGGAGTTGTTCTCGCGGGGGAGAAGTAGTTTATCGCCACGAGGGCCCACACGAGCTTCATCCTCTGCGGAGGTGGAAGCTGTGCCAGGGTTGAAGAAGGGCAAAAAAAAAAAGAAAAAAAAAAAACGCATAAATAGGGACAACAAATGGGATAGGCAAACGGGATAGCCGAACGGGATAGCAAACCGAATGGCAAAAATAACAAACAACAGGGGATACCCTTCTTTTTAACCCCAAGAAGAGTGACTTTTTCTAACATTTGACCAAACCGCGGGCGCAATTTTCTCCTGAGCCTTCTGGCAAACAAGGCCAATTACTCGCACTGTGTAGCATTACCAGAATGAACACTTAATCCTCAGGCATACCGTTTTTTTATTTTTTATTTTGTACTTTGTTTTATTGTGCACACATTTTTTAAGATGAATTGCGAGGAAAATCGAACAAGTGGAGATCATTTATGAGGACATTGCACACTTGTGTTTAGCGCGATTGTTAATTTGCGGCATGGTGGATGCCTATACATTTTTTGGCGGGCTCCCCTTTTTTAGGGGCTCTGTTTTTTTTTTTTCACCTTTTTAGTGCATCTTCCCGTATGACATTGCTCATGTCTTACTAGCATGGAAATGCATTTTGTGAGAAGCGTTGAACAGGTGCTGGTTCAAGGCGGGGCGAGGAAAAGTTAAACCTTTGAGTTCACTTCAGGTGTGTGTAGGGGTGCTTACCTAATCTGTTGTTTCCCTGCTCGCTTCCCCTTCGTAACGTATTCGCGAGTGTACCACTTTAGGCCATTCCAGATTGACCCATTTCTGTGATTTTCTCATCCCGACGTTGAGCCTATAAAAAGGGAACCACGTGGGTAGAACGGAACAGAAACCTGCCCCCCCCATGCTATATGCAAAGCGGAAGAGTGATACAAGTTAACATGTCGTATATGGACCCGTAACTGGGTCATGTATGTCTGATGTCCCTGATCCCTTGACTCCCTTTTTTGTGGGAGACGCTACACGCGCTGCGTGTACTGCTACTAAGTGCACAGGGAAAGCAGGCCAATCAGCGCCGTTAAGATAGGCATGAGGATTATAGGGATCGAAATAGGCATACTGATTATACCAGTGGACTCCTTTCCTCAAGAACCCCCCATTTGTGCTCAAGGATAAATATACGTACCAAGTGTTTACAGTGTAGAAATGAAGAAAAAAAGGAAAAGAAAAACACCTTTCCAATGTTCTAAATGTAGGGGGGTACCATATTTTCCTAACATAGTGGTATCATTTTTATCATTTTATTTTTTTTTTTAAGTAGAAGGATTTTCCGCTTTATTTGCGCGGCGGAATGGGTAGATAACGCTTCTGCGGGATCTTTTTCTTTTTTTCAATTATGTTATTCCACGAATGAAGGAAGAGAAGGGAAAGTGTTTGCTTATGTATACCCGTTTTCTCTTATATGTACCAATTGTTTTCTGTTTTCTTTTAAGACAAAGGTTTAAATTGAATCGTTCGGATAGTTTATGGGCGTCTCTGTGTGTCCATGTAGGTATACGAGCTGCTCATTTAAGAAGCGGGTGGAGGAATTATGTACCTGTGGCATAAGTCCACACAGTGATATACATTAATATGAAGTTAAGCGAAAGTGCAATGAGCCATTTGCGTTCCCCAGTTAGGAATTAAAAAAAAAATATATATATATATACAGTTTTGTCACACCTTCTCTGGAGAGGAGGCACAAAACTGCACTTCCGATTGTTTGCGATTCGTTAGGGACATACACAAATTAAAGGGCAGAGTTAAATTAGCGATGCGGTTCAAACTGGCGTCGCGTGCCATGTCGCGGGAACACGAACCCTTGTGCACACATCCATGCCACATCGCTCCCTCTAACGTTAAGGGAGTAACTGCATAAATGTATACATTTATATATGTGAACATACGTGCTTAGGACGCTTGTATCCCACTGCAGCGCCCGAATCCCCCCTCCCTTCACTCTCTTTTGCCATTTTAGCTGGCTCACTACATGCACCTTAAGAAGTGAGAAAGAGAAAAAAATAACACGCACATTTGCCATTCGCAAAAAAAAAAAAAAAAAAAAAAAGAGTTAAAATATAACATACGCATGTCCCTCTGAAAATTCTTATGTCCTTGGTCCCATACAAGAACTTCAAACAAGCAGGAGTATCTTTCTTAAGTAGTAAAAGAATGAGAGAACATCACACTACATTTTCGCCATTGTTTTTGTAAATAACGTTAAACGTGTTTGCCATTTTTACATGAACATACGAAAAAAAAAGAGAAAAAAAAGAAAAGAACAAATACGAAAACGTCCGTTCGTAACAATTCCACATGTGGTTTCTTTAACCTTCGCGTTTAGGCGTTATACTGGTTAAGGTTATAAAGGAATAGAAACCTTCCTTTTTTAGTAATTTTTTCTTTTTTTTTTTCGTTTTTTGTGACACAATGTCAGGTATGTTCAAACATATGTGTGTAGTTTGCAAATGTAGGAAGGAGCAAACCTGTGGGATTTTCTCCACCCGCTTCACTGGGTACATGCATTCCGTGGGATTCATGCGGTTGTGCTTTTTTTTTTTCTGTTTCTCCACCATCCACAGAACAAGAAATAATTGCCGAAGATACCTCCAACACAAATGCTGAATCGGAAGTGGACGAACAGATGGGTAAGTAGAGAACATCGGCGTTACAGGATTTTATGGCTTGACGCGTTTGTGTATTTGTCTGTTTGTGTGTCTATCCCTTTGGACCCCCAACCATGTGTATTCAAGTGGAAGTTACTGAGGGTGTACCTGTATGTTGCTCCTATATGTACCGTGTGCTGACCCCCGTTACTCCTTTCCGCTTCCTCCTCCCCCCAATTGCAGAACTCCTGGAAAAGAAAACGGCACAGGAACTGTTCGACATGGGGACTCTAGAATTTAAGGAGAATAAAAACTTCGACGTTGCTGCGGAGAGATTTTCCATGGCCGTGGAGAAGAAGTAAAGAGGCTACGTGTTTTTTCTGCGCGTTTGTCGCGCTATTTCTTTGCCAAGTCAGAATGATGCTAATATGTCTTCACTCCCTGCACACCCACACCCTCCCCCATTCGCAGAGTGAAAGAATTAGACGCAGAAGGGAGCCTCCACGTCGATTTGCGTGAATATTACCTATCCTTTGCTGATGCCCTGCTGACCAAGGAAGAAGAAAAAAACGATCTTTTCGAATTCTTGAAAAAAAGTAACTCCTTAAAATGAGTGCAGCGGTTAAGCGGTGTGGTAATGTGGACCCCCGTGACGAAGAGGAGACGGTTCCTCCCTCGCCAATGCTTCCTACTGTGCAATGTTAACATTCCGCTTTTTCCCCCCTTTAGAGAAAAAAATCGAAGTGTCCGACACGGAGGAGGATTCAGCTGAGAAGGAAGAAGTCACGGATGAGCAGGTAATCAAAATTGCATGTTTCCCACGGGAGCATTTTTCTAGGCGTTCCTCCTTTTTTCTGGCAACGTTCCCATGTTGTCATCGTGCGGGCCGTTTTTGCATCACTTGGTTCCGAATGGGAAAAGGACTTGCACCCGTTTGGACGCATTTGAGCTTATTTGGGCCTGTTTGAGCCTGTTTGGACCCGTTTGAACCCGTTTGAACTCATTTGGACCCCTTCTTCCCTTCTTGTACCCTCCAAATCAGCTTGCCTTTGAGATGTTCGAATTCGCAAGAAAATGTTACGAACTTCTAGTGGAGGAGAAGAAGGAAGAGATGTCGAAGAAGGACATTTTGAATTACACTTACGTGTTTATTCGCCTTGGGGACATCAGCTTACTGAATCACTTTTTCGAGGAGGCCTCGAAGGTGGGCACCGCCGCGTGTGGAGCGATCATGTGGGGAGACTGCGGATCGTCCCGCGTTGGGCCTATTTTTGCCGAGTCTTTTTTATAGCGTCTCATTTATCTCTCCTCATTCGACACCTTCTATTCGCTGCTCCCCCCTGCAGGAGTACCAAAAATGCGTGGAGTTACGGGAGAAGCACAAGGTGGGCGATGAGAACCTGATCGCCCCCCTGATCTCCCTGTCGCAGAGCTACATGTTCTGTGGAAAGAGGAAAGAAGCAGTGGATTATTTCGAAAAAGTAAAGAAAATCCTGCTGGACGTGAGACAGAAAACGACCCCATTGCCTGACAACACGAACGAGAAGATTATACGGGACACATACGACGATGTCCAAATACAAATTAATGACTTGAAGAGACAAATAGAGGAGGAGGGCGAGGAAGGCACGCAGTTGGGAAGCCAAACCATTGCCAAGGAGTTAGTCGTCACGACAAAGGTTAGCACTGACTGTGTGTATACACCACATGGGACATTCGGCACTTGCACAAGGGATCAGAGTGCAAATCCTCTCCCCCGCGAGGGTTCCACCCGCTAAGCAATGCAACTCCAGTTGTGCTATATATAACTGTGTGCATGTATATACATATACGTATATATACATATATATATTTTTCCTTTTCTCCCCCCTGCGCAGTCCGAATTCGACAAGGCAATGCTGAACAAAGAAAATAACCAAGTTACCAAGATCACTATTTCCACGGTGAATGATGACGACCAAGGAGCCAAGAGAAGAAGGATCAACTTATCTAATTATAAAGTGTAGACAGAAGGGAACTTCCGCACGCTGCCAGAAGCTGAGAAGAAGTATGAGAAATGTGTGCAAAAGCGGAAAAACAAGCAGGGAGGTGTGAGGTACACACATTCACCCGAAGTGTTTACATGTCTAGCAGAATTGTAGATCCCGCTTCCGTTTGGGATGCAGCGGTCTCGATTACTCCTTAAGGAGAAACGAAAACAGGGAGTACCAGCAGATCGCAGCATAACGTATAGCATAACGTAGCGACAGTGTTACTCTCCCCCCTGCTCCTGGTGGTACCGCTAAAATTATGTATAAAGTCACCCGTGCGCTTTATTTTGACTCACCATTCTGACTAGCCACTTTGACTCGCCATCTTGAGTAGCCATTTTCACTCGCCATCTTGGCTAGCCATTTTCACTCGCCATCTTGGCTAGCCACTTTTGTCTTGATTTTTTATCAATGCCTTCGCGCAGAAATACATGCATACATACGTGCTTACATACGTACAGTACACGCGCCTTTTCTCCCACTGCACGCGAAAGGAGGCACACAAAATGTGTGCATAAAGCAATAATGGAAACGTTTTTATGTGCACACGCACTGGACGCGCACTTCTTTGTTTTGCATCCCCTGCGTCTTCCACGTCGTGAAGCCACTGGCATATACCCTCCACGTTTTTCCACGTGTTACGACTGTTTATCCGTGCACCGTTCACACGTCAGAGAAAAAAAAAAAAAAAAAGAAAATATACCATGCATAAGTAGAAAGAACACCGTGTAATAAGTGATTAACTCAGAAACCTAAGTAGAAACATATGATGATACTGATAAAGGGATGCGATTCAGGTGAACGTGGATCCAATGACCGGCTTCGCAACGACGGTGTCGCCCTTTTGAATGACTAGCCAAATGACTAGACAACTTCTTTCCAGTTGTGACTCACCCCCCTCCTATGTTCCATTATCCTACACCTTCTGCCCCCCCAAAAAAAAAACTCCGAACGAGTTGTGCGTATCCATTTCCCCTATTAAAAAATTCTTCTGTTGACTTATTTCCATTTTTATTTATGAGTCGTAAAGTTATATGGTGATATGTATATGTGTTAAAAAGAAAAGAGAAATTAAAAAAATTAAAAAACAGGGATGAAAAATACGATTATCGTTTTCGGTGATCATATCCATATGCAACTGCACACACATAACACTTGTCCAGGTTTTTACTTACCTATGTGCACAGTAATACACAAGCATACAACACTTAGATCATTTAAAAACATGAATACGTCTTGCATTATCGATGTAGCGAATTAATCTCAGTGCACACACAAACACGCAAAAACACCCGCACACACGGGGGGCATATAAATCTCGGATTGTTTGTACGTATATCCTTACATGCCACACGCCATACTCTTCGTCTGTTTTCATCTGCCTATTGTTTATTGAGAACATAGGGTGTGGGGGTGACCGCAGAGTGGTGCTGAGTAACTGCAAAAAGGGGAGATGCACCTGCACCCAAATATGCACCCGGGGTGTAAACAGAAGTAATACGTAACTACAGGGTGAGAGGCAAGACCAACTGCAAGGTGAGCAGAAAGGCCATAGGCAGGGCATATTTTTTATTAAAATAATCAGGAGGCATTGAAATGAATAAGTAAACAATGCTGCTTCGACATTATGTTCCAAATAAACATCTTAACAACTGACGTCTCATGGGTGTGCTGTCTTATATTTATGCTTTTCAGGTGAATATTTCAAGGGGGAGAGGGTCCCACAAAAAAAAAAGGAAGAGAGTGTGCTGTGCGTCTCCATTGAGTGTACGCAGGGATCGGATGCTTCGTTCACATTCGTACGCGTGTATTTGACGAGGAGTTTACCTCTTATGCAAACATGCATATAAGCACACACACACAGAGACACGCATGTGTAGATTTTGGAAGTCTGGTACAGAAGTGATAAACCCAGCTGCGTTCCTGTTTTGATTAGCCTCCACTTTTAGGGTCATATAGCGGGGTGAATGCACAAACTGGATCTACACGCCCCAAGATGTTCGGCTTGCATGTTTACCTACGTGTGGATATTGCTGTGTGGTTATTATACAGACGTCTCTCTTGTCAATTCCCTTTAGGGGAGCAAAGTAAACACGTGAAAGATCAATACTGAGACGTGGTGAGTGTGTGTGGATCTGTTCCCCGGGGGGAGGATAATAGTTCCATTTGTGTTTTTTTTTTTTTTTTTTTTTTTTTTGACTGTATTGAACACGCACTTGTATTTTCTTCAGTATTCCCAGGGGAATGAATTCGCTATACAAAACATTGAAACTTGGGACGTGCAAATTACCACTACGACTACTTTGGTGGATATACTGTTGCACACACATCACATTTATTGTGCACTCTATGATGTGTCTCCACTGATGAGCCTATTTCTACATTTCTATGGCTTATGAAAGGCACGGGGAGGGAGGCCTCGTTACGTGCCGTTTAATTGTCTCTCAGTTACTCATCTTTATCGAAGACAGCATCCCATTATGTTCACAAGAAATATCATGTTCTGTGTATAACACTCTTCTCGTGTTTTCTTTTCCCTCGAGGGGGTTTTCCTCCATCTGTCTATGCTCAGAGTGGTAGAATGGCAGATGCACCATTGGGAATATGCTCAGGGAGCTAATTTTTTTCGTCTTCACGTTGGAGCTATTTAGAAGGTTCATCATTTCTTCATTTTCTTCCCATATGAGTCTTTGGTTGATGCCGGAGTTGGCAATCTCGTTTGTCCCTTGGTCGTGGATGTAGTCGTAAATCAACTTGAGCGGCTCAATTTCGTTAAATAGGGCTGCCTGGGCTGCGGCGGTGTTGATGTTCTTCGTGCTCACGTCGTCCCAGCAGCTAGCATCGCAATTGGCATCCCATCTTCCACCGTAATGGTCCTCCTCATCTTGGATGTTCGACTCTCCCTGCTCGTCCATCTGGGCGCCCTCGTTCAGGTTTCCCCCCTCGCTAAGACTATTTCGCTTTTCTTGTTGTTGTTCTTCTTCCTCTTCCGAGGTGGAGACGCTATCGCACATAAACGTTTCCGCGTGATGCCTCTTCTTCTTGTAGACGCTCTGCGGTTTGGAGTAATTGTCCGTCCTTCCACATCCACTACAGGCCACATCGCTCGAAACGCTGTTGCCGAGAAAATCCCTCTCATTCACGACGTTCCAACAGCCTTCGCTGACGGGGCTCCAATAGACCAACCCATTGCGAGCGTCTACTACATCGTTGCTTCCCTTGTTGCTCTTCTTGTACGGGTTCATGCTCATTTTCCTCTGACAATTGGAGGTACTGCGAAGGTTTTTATACGGGACGATGGCATCACTACTCCTCTGTGGTTGGTTCACTACACCCATGTAGATGCATTGTCCATGATCATTCGAGTACACATTTTGGTAGCTCTCCTCATTTTGGTTTTCACCTTCCTCATCCCTTCTTACTTTCATTTCGTGACTTTGATCTAAACTGCTATGGTAATAGTGACTGGGACTCTCTTCCACATGCTGCACTCGGATACTCTGGCACGGCTTCAGACTGTTGCTGCGGACGATGTTTGCTACTGCAATGGGTCCACTGCATACTACTGGGTTGATTCTTCCCACACCATGCAGGTACATACTTCCATCGTGGCTTGCGTGAGCAAAGAGCCTGGGAGAGACAACTTCTTCGTAGTTCACGCCTAGGAGGTTTCTTCCTAGGGGCGAATTGTAGTAGCATTCTCTGTTTATTTGACTTCTTTCGGCGTTAACTCTGATCATGTCGTTGAGAAGGTTGTCTCCGTGATAACGTCGATTGCCTCGATTGGAATCATCGCGGGTGGGCTGCCCCTTTTGATGTCGGCTCATATACCCGTTATAACGATTGGTGGTACTACTCCCACTACTGTGATGTCCCCTGTTTTGATTGCCGCTGGAACCACTCGTCCCGTTCGCGCCGCTCGGGCCAGTCGCTCCATTCGCATTGCTGTTATTCCTCGCGTCATCGATGCCCCCATTGGGGAAGCCGTTATTCCCGTTTTCATTATCGCTGTTTTCATTGACATCGTTGCCGTTACTCACGCCTTCGTCGTTCCCTTGGCTGTTCACTCTGTGTTGGAGGTAATTGTAGAAGTACGTGTCCCGATTGTGCTGATGGTGCAGCTGATGCTGGTACTGCTGGTATTGGTAAAGGGGATTCTGCTGATGATGCTGTAGCTGATGCTGGTACTGCTGGTATTGGTGAAGGGGATTCTGCTGATGATGCTGTAGCTGATGCTGGTGCGAACCCCCAGTATTTAACCACGCACTGTTACTACCGGTACTACCATCATGATTGCTTCTCGCCATCGTCATTCCGTTGCCCAGATTGGCCAAGTCACCGAAGTTTGCCAAGTTGACGAAGTTGCCGAAGTTACCACTGCTGGCTACATTATAGAAGCTTCGACCTCTTCCATCATTCTGGAGAGCACTCCCATTAAATATCCAGTAACCGCCTCCTCCATTATGTTCATCAAGGGGGTGGTGGTGGTACTGTCCCCTATAGTCATACCATCGCAAGCTCTCTACACTACTGCTGTCATTACTACTGGGCTCTATTCTTTCTCCGCACCTGGGAAGCATGAGGTTGTGATGGTTGTCCCCAAGGCTCGCTTGATTATGGTAGTTGTTTCTTCCATTGCTGTGATGGTTGGCCCCAAGGCTCTCTTGATTACGGTAGTTGTTTCTTCCACTGTTGTGACGGTTGCCTCCGCGGCTTTGTCTGCCATTTCGTCTTTCATTGCCTTCACCACTACCGCTACCGCTACCACCACCGCTGCCACTTCCACCACGGCCGCTTGCGCCGCTTCCCCCTGTTCCGCCACTTCCTTGGCCCCCACCCGAATTGTTCTGATTGTTCGGATTTCCATTCCCATTGTTGTTGTTCCTGCCATCGTCTCGGTTGGGTGGGCCCATGTTCGGTCGATTGTTCGGGTTGAGTAGCGAAATGGACCTTGCAGGGTGTTGTGTAAATTGCGCACTGTCACGAGAACAAACTTCAATTTTGCATTGTCCGGCTTTAAAAATAGAACCCACAGGTAAAGGGACGGGTTCTGAGAAGGGCGGGATTTTTAAGAACGTTCCCAAGGTACTAGTATCCCTCAGAAGCCATCTTTCTCCAACGGGCTTGTTTCCATCATAGTATATTAAGCAGTGCTCTCTAGATACATAACCATTCGAATTTGTAACGGACAGTTTTTTGTAACTTGACTGCGCATATGGACCTCTGCCTAGGACGACTCCCTTGGGATCCATATACTCCGTTTTTAAATTGACTTCATCTTTTACCGTTCCAAAATCGAATTTAATTAGCAAATTGGATTCGATGATTTCACAATAGGATGGCAGGTTATCTTCGCCCACGTTATTGGCAGAATCCTGTGCATCCGCCCCTCGCTCTGAGATCTCATCAGAGAGCCGTTCTTGGGGACGTTCCGCACTGTGATCCACTCTCGATTCAGCTGGCACATCTTCCCTCTGTTCAGCGTCATCTTCGTTTTGCTTAACATCTGCTCCGGCTGCTCCTCCCGCTTCTGGTTCTCTCTCTCCTTCCTTGCTCTTCCCCTTCATCAGCTCGCTTAACTCGTGTCTGTCAAGCACCTTATTGGACTTCTTATTCCACACATATCCTTTGTAAGGCATACCTATCGTGTTCTTTTCTATAGACACGGTAACTTCAATCCGGTCTCCTATGTGGATTATGTCCCCTTCTTTCAGTACGTGGTTAGTGTTCACCTTTATCATGGTACCAATAGTCGACCCACAATCGACGACACCAATGTTGTTATTTTCTGCCTTGACAAATATTAGGTGTGACAGCGAGACGGACGAATGGGGCATATGTATTAAGCTCTTAACATGTCTCCCCCCATCCCATGGCAATCTATTGGGAAGTGCAGAGGAATCGAAAAATTGGCTATCAATTTTATGGGTTCTATCCTGAATAATCTTTAAAATAATTTTCTCATCTTTCCTAATGCACATGGATGGGTTCTCTGTGATATAGTTCTCCACCCAGGCATGTAGCCTGTCATTCGTTACTTCCTTGTTGTCCTTATCGTAGCCAATAAGTTCGCTAAACATTTTACAGTCGTTTATGTTAAATACCCACTTGGCCTTTGACCACAGATTGTTGACGGTGAAGAAGTCGACAATGCAGGCAGTCAGGTCGTCAAAGAAGACAGGCACGGAAATCATATCGTTCAGAAAGATACGTAAAAATAAGGGTACACTAACTTGGGGTTTAATGAAATTTTCATTCCACCAGATTTCATCCACTGTGTTTACTATTTCTATCGATTTGTATACCTTGATGGATTTTCTTCTCAAATTATATACGCGTACTAGGTTGGAGATAATTGTGTTGATGCATACGGTGTGCCCTAGGGCTTGTCGACACAGAGGGCAATTTTTTCCATTCAGTTTGTTATGGCCGATGCAGTATCTGCAAAAGGTGTGTCCACAGTTCATCGTTACGGGGAGGTAAAAATAATCCAGACAGATTGGACAAGTCAGTTCTCTTTTCAAACACTGTATTAAAGCTTGAACGGTTAGTCCTCCTCCTGTGGAAAGAGCTACTGCTGATCCTTGTGCTGCTACCCCTGGGATGGAAGCATCTCCTGTAGATACTGCTCCTACTGCGCTATTTAATGTGTTTAGATGGGAGCCAGATTCAAGCTGATTATCATTGTTAAGAATTGCTGCCACTACCAGTTCGTCACTTAGTGAATCACTCTCCACCATGTGCAACATATTTCTTTCCACTTCGTCGTCCTTCTTTTTAATATTTTCTCTTGCCCTGACTTCGCTCAATTCGACTCCTTGCATCAGTGCGTTCGCGTGGTTTTCTTGGCTCAGTTCTTCATACTGCTCGGGCTGTTCCTGCTGCTGCAGTTGCTGCGGCTGTTGCGACTCTTGTTGCCGCTGTTCTTCTTCTTCCTGCTGCTGATGATGATGCTCCTCCCCCATCGCGTCATCCCGCGCATCTCTCACTTCGTCCGCGTGGTTGCTCTCGGCGTGCACTCCGTTCTGCAGGAAGTAGTTACTGGATCCGTTCACGAACACGTTGTCCCTCTCGGCCCCGTGGATGTGGCTCAAGGGATCGTTCCTTCTGCTATCACACTCCTGCGAGTTGGGCCCTATGTTGGTGGAGATACCTGCAGCTAAGTTCGTGGCTACGTTTGCCGCTATACCGTCCAGTGATCCCTGGTTCACGCCGCGTATAGCGCTGCTCCCTGTGCCGTCACAGCCACCCAAGATGTTGTCTCCGTTAAAAACGAAGAGCTCGTTTCGGATATTGCTCGTCATGCTCTGCGTTGTGCCATTGGGAGGGCCACTATTCGGGAGGTCGCTATGGGGCAATGCGCCCTCCGACGGAACGCCATTTATCAGTACGCTGGAATTGCTGCCTTCGGGGTGTCGATGGCCGTACTGTTCGTGCCCCTGTTGCTGCGCATGCGGGTTGTTGACGCCGCGACCCAAGCTAGCGCTACCATTATTGGACTCTCCTCTTTCGTTAGCCATATTTTTATTTTCGCTTCTATTTAATCTATCTATTCTCTTTCTTCTAGAGTTGGTATTATCTTCATCGTCTTTTGGAGTGAGACATTCATCCTCTAACGAGTCATTATCGTCGATGAACATACCATCGTCATTGACGATAAAGTTATTGCTTTCGCTATCTTCAATGTTGATTACGTCGTTGTTACCTCTACGTTGTCGGGTTCTTTCTCTGTTATTGGATTCGTTCATTTTTTGTACTTATTCATGCGTGTAGGGGAGTACCTGGAAAGGGTTGTGTGCACGGGATGTGCTTTTGTTACGGGCAGATACGCTTGATGCGGAGACGTATCTCTGTTTGTGGGCGTAAAGAGACTCGATGGGGGGGGGGCGTAGTGCGACTGTACGCAAAGTATGGAGAACACGTCTATTCGTATGTATAGCTAGCAGGTTAAAGCACGTATGCACGTACGTCTGCGTTGCGCCTGCTAATGTGCCTCCTGGAATGAATTGTGCGAATTGGCTTCACGATAGGGGGTGTCCTAAGTGCAGTGGATGAACAGAGTGAAGTGGGCGTGCCTGTTGGTGTGCACTGTGGAGGGACACCTTAAGGTACGCACTTAAGACAGGTAAGCAGGGCACGCAGTTAATTCACGCAGCTATGTTGGCAGTTAATCCATACAGTTAATTCATGCAGTTACGGTACGCAATTAAGTTATGCAGTTCGGTTGGCAGTTAACTAACGCAGGTGAGGTGTGCCTCTCGCATGCATACGCAAAACGCGAGGGGCAAAACCACGGGAAGGAGAAAGAGTACCGCACGTGAGGGGAAAAAATCAGGGCGCTCGCGTGCTATCGCGTATGCGCGTGGGAAGGTACTTCACGATGGGTTTGGGCGCAGGCGCTCTTACGCAGGTATAAACTTACGGCAAGGCACTCTTAAGCAGGTATACTTATGGACCAGCCACTCTTATGGCATAGATTCTCTTCTACACTTATGCTAATTATGCATTCACGTGGCCATGCATTTACACATAATATCGGGATGTAGATGCTGTATGTACATAAATTCACGTAAAGTATACATCACTGGTCACGCATTCGTATGCAACGGGTAATCAATGAGGTTGGTTTCTCTCCCACGAGTGGAAAAATGTGCTTGTACGCGTAGATGGGTATAGCCGGGTACACCCAGGTACAGCTAGAGACCGGTATGTACGGGTATGTAGGAATTTATGCTGATACGTACTGGCGTAAACGGGCACATGCATATATATCTCATAAACGTGAATGGCCCCACGAGCTGGCTCGCGCAAGCTATCCTCTTCTTCACTCGTTTTTTTCTCGAGGATATAACAATGGCGCGGCTGCAGCTTGGGTTAAAAGAAAAAACTTATGCTTGGCAATTTTCTTTAAAAATTTCGCCTTAAAAGGTATGCACTGTTGTGAGAAATGGGCGATTTACAAAAAAAGGTGGAGCAAAGGAAAAATAAAGAAAAACGCTAAGGGAAGAAAATGCGAATGTATACTTGATACATTAACACATAAATACATTTAATCCTTCTCAAGAATTAAATATTTCCTCTTTTTCATGTTAAAAATAAAAAAATATTTTTTGCGTACGTAATAGTCAAGATCCAGCTGTTTTTTTTTTTTTTGCTTGCATTCCCTTGGGGGCGTACGAGTAAAATTCATATGCGTTCACGATACATGTATTTTTATCTGACCACGTTATGCACATATAAGAAGTAATATCTATCTGCGTGCCCACGGGCATAAGGGCGTGTACGCGCGAAGGAATTACAAATGTGCCCGTGTACGCGAAAATAGCGAAAAATAATACAATGGCATACGCATGTATATCTTTGCATGTACGTGTGGAGGGGCGTATTTATAGCGATATACAAGTAGGGTGCTATACTAATGGTATGTCCGCTCCCCCTTGGGCATACGTGTTGCAGAGCTTACGTGCTAGGGACACTCTCACAGGCTTATGCACGCTCGCTGAAGAATACGTAAAATGAGTACGTCAACTGACACAACAGGCTCAACAATAGTTGCTCGTACGTACGACACTTTCATACAGCGGGGCTCCAATCACGCGGGCACAAGGATATGGCTAAATATGTACATAAAATGTAGGCATAAGTATTATATGTACATATATATGAGTTTTTTCTTCTGTTCAAGAAGGGACCTTTTTGCTGTTTTTTCTTTTTTCACCCCCCCTTGTTTTTGAATAGGCTGATCATTAACAGTTGAAAACGCAAAGGTTAACTATTGGGGGTACAGATAAAGGTCCTGGCTCATCTCATATTATAATTGTCCTCTTCTCCTGTGGTACTCGTTCATCAGAGTTAGCGAGTGAGGTTTGCATGAAGAAAACGTAAAAACGACGCGCTGAAAAATGGCGCGTCAAGGATGATGTGGGGGAAAGATAGAGTATATGGAAACGAAGGTGCGCACGTATGGCGTAAAGAGTTACGCACTGAGAGAGTCGCAGAGGCAAGGGACGCAAAATCGTAAAATGAGTAAATCAGGTAAGTCATGTAAAGCGGGTAAAACTTGTAAAACATGAAAACACGGGAAGGGCGTGAAACACGTAAAACACGTAAAGATTGAAAAAGGAAAGAAATAAATGTCGTTAAGTTCGATGCGGTTAATGTTGATTTCAGCTCGATATAATTCAGTAACACAACCAACTTGGCTTTTGCGCGAATTTCAATTTTTCTTTCTCGTTGAATTCACTTTTTTAAAAATCAAAATTTGTACACTTGGTATCTTCGCCTCAAGGCGCCACTTAATTGAAAGGTGCGGACGAATTCGCTATAGGGGTCAATTTGTATGGCATAAAAACTGCACGAACATATGGCAATACGCCGTACGCATATATCACATACGCTCTGTGCGAATATGCGCTCTATACATTCACGGCATTCGCGTACACCTATGCGCCCCGCGTACATGTAGGCAAACCCAAGAGGTAGGTGGAGGCAAGGGATGCAGAGGTAGCCGTAAGCGTATAGCACGAGAGATATGCACAACGTCCTTTGCAGCTTCTGCACTGTTTAAGCAACGGCTTAACGAGTGTAGATAAGTGACAGGAATATAAGGGGAAGAGAAAAAAGGCCTAACATCATGTAGGAAGCGGCGTTGTTTCTTTGGCTCACACGTATAGTATATGCTATGTTACATTCTCTTTATTGTGCGTTTACTCACTTTTTGTTTTGGCTTTCCTCCA